CTTCGGGCCTTCGCCAGGATGTGCCAAATGCCAGATGCCACAGCCAAAAAATAATATATTTGTGGGGTGGGGGAGATTGAATCACGTACTCCGGGTCTGTCTGCCTGTCTGTCTGTCTGTCTGTCTGTCTGTCTGACTGTCTGACTGTCTGTCTGACTGTCTGTCCGTCCGTCCACCTGTCCCTGTTCGACTCCGATCGCACAGGAGCGTCACGGTTCGCGCCCACCCGCCTGAGAGAGCAGCGAGTTCCGTACCGTCGCTCCTAAAACGTGGCCGGTGCGCTGGTGTCACCGGCGGTGTCGCCCGGCCGCAGTGCCATCGGCTTTTCCCGCGTCGTATTCAAATTGGGACGATGTGTCAGTGTCGGTTACAGGCGTCGAACCGTCGAAGCGCCGAAGCGGCAGCCGAGGAGGGACGCGGCTCGCTGCGGTACGGAGGCCCGCCAGGCCAGGGCCGCCGGGCACACCGCCCCGCCAGCCAGCCAGGACCCCGAGCCCTACAATGTCAAAATTCTATGGACCGTTTCCCGTGAACTCCATTTAATTACCCAAATGGTGTGTGCGGATGCATCCCAGATTCACGAGTATTTAAAATGTACAGGACGAGCCTAAGTTGCCGGTGTTTTATCACCACTTTTCCCAACTTGTTTATTGTGAGGCAGGTTCCTTCGCAGACTTTTCACAGTACGGGCGCGGGCGGCGTCAACAAACGGCACGACCGCTCGGCGGCCGCTCGCCCCGCCCCCGCCCCGCCCCCGCCCCGCCCCCGCCCCGCCCCCGCCGCACGCGTGCTCCTCCTTCTCAATGGCCAAACGGCAAACGGCGAACGGCGCGGGGGAGAGAGAACCTGATGAAAAATTTAAGGGATTGGTGGGTTCGAGTTGGAACGGCACGCCGGCGGCCGCTCGCCGCCCGGCGGCCGGGCCGCCCGGCTGCCATGGGGCCCCGGCCGGACCACCTGTCCCGAGTCACGACCAGGGTCCAGCCAGGGTGGGTGTCCGTCGCTATCCAGAGTGACGCCACACGGCAAACGGCGACGAGCGGCGCCGGTGAAGTCCACGAGTCGGCTAGTCCACGAGTCGGCTAGTCCACGAGTCGGCTAGTCCACGAGTCGACTAGTCCACGAGTCGACTAGTCCACGAGTCGGCTAGTCCACGAGTCGGCTAGTCCACGAGTCGGCTAGTCCACGAGTCGACTAGTCCACGAGTCGACTAGTCCACGAGTCGGCTAGTCCACGAGTCGGCTAGTCCACGAGTCGGCTAGTCCACGAGTCGGCTAGTCCACGAGTCGACTAGTCCACGAGTCGGCTAGTCCACGAGTCGACTAGTCCACGAGTCGACTAGTCCACGAGTCGGCTAGTCCACGAGTCGACTAGTCCACGAGTCGACTAGTCCACGAGTCGGCTAGTCCACGAGTCGACTAGTCCACGAGTCGGCTCCGCCTCCGCCTCCAGACTGACTAGACGCTTTCTCTCTCGCACTTCCGCGGAACGCTGCACGAGTGCGAGGGAGACAGAGCGACGAAAAGGACTCTCGGAATCGGTCTGCTGTAGGGGGAGCGGCTGGCCCCGGCTGGCCTTGGGGGAGGCCGGGCTGCCCGCCGGGCTGGCCCGCCTGGGCCGGCGTAAGAAGATCTAGAGGGCCTCTAACAGCCGGCTCAGCCCGGCCGTTTCGTCACCCGGCCGTTCAGCGAGACGGCCGAGGCGTCTCGTCTCCAGCGTGACAAACTCTCTCCCGACCTCGGCGGCGGGGCGGCCTGGCCTGGCGCGGTACCGGCATCAAAGGGCTCACCCGCGGTGGCGGCGACTGGCAGTTTGATTCACGACGTTTTTCTTTTCGACGAGTCGAACCTGCTTCCTGCACACCGCCACGGCTGCTCCCCCTACACGGCCATTAACCGCGGGCAGCCAGTCCAAACGAATAGGGAAACTTTGTACCAAGATATTCTTGAATGATATTCCCAGGTATGGGGGCGGCCTCTCGCGAACCAGATGTGCACCTTTCCTTTCCCTTTTGCAAATGCTGGCGATAGTTATCTTTACGCCCCCCTCAATGGCCACGCGGCTGACTGTCACAGATCCTGGTCCAGAACGTCCAGACAGATAGATGACTGATCTGCTGGTCGGCAGACTGAAGGGACGCGTGCGTGCGGTTCCCCGCTCCCTTCTTTGGCCTACTTCCCGTTTCCGGCCAAAGAGGCGCAGACGTCGCTGCCACTGCCACTCATTCTACAGTGGGCCACTGGCGGTTCCTTTCCGGGTCCGCATTCCCGTCCCGTCCCGACCCGACCAGCGGTGCTGCGCTGCGCGATGCGAGGAAGGAAGGCACGGAAGGTGACGCGACCGCCAACGATCCGATCCGCATGCCGCGGTGTGCGCAGCGCTGCAGCATGTTGAGGTTAGGTGGCCTCGACCGCCTCGACCCCGTGAGGTTTACCTTTCTCGGCGGCGGCTGCATGGTGCCGCTGCTGGTGGGGGCCGGCGGTCCGCCCCCTACGGGCACCCGCGAAGGCACCCGCTACGGGGACCCGCTGGGCCTAGACGCAGAGGCCAAGGCTGGGCCAAGGCTGCCCCCGAGGGCCGAGGGCCCCGCCAAGAGTCCGAGCGCGCACCGCACACCGCGCCGCACTGGTCCACTGCACGCCCGACCCGACCCGACCCTCACGCTCCGCGCTACTCCGCGCCCGACGCTGCGCCCAGCCCAGCCAGCCCTGAGCCTGGACACGGGGGCAGTTCGCACAGCACTGCCGAGGCGCGAGGGGCGCGAGGCGAGCCATCCGCCACCCGCCGCCTGGCCCGGCACACCCCCACGCCCTCCGCGGCCCCAGCCACCCCACGCCGCGCCGCCCCCACCGAGCCGCCCTCGCCATGCCCCTCCATCCGACACACGGTACCTGCTGCATCACGTGGACGCGGGCATCTCCAACTGCCACTCGCTGCAAAAAATCGAAAGTGTCGTCTGCAGAGAATTCCCCTCTCGCCCCTTCCACTCCTCTTGTCCTTGCCGGACAGAACGCTTGCGCCAGCCTGCGCTCCGGCTCGGGGGGGGGCTGGTTCCTGGTGCACCCCTTGGAACCTTCCTACAGACGTCCATGAGTTCGAGGAGACGAATTGCAGTTCGGCAGCGAGCTGCAGGACACGGGCCGTTCGTTTGAGAGGGCTGCACCCTGAGGCCAACCCTCGTCGCCCTTCAGGGCTAGGCCTTCAGGCGGCTGAGGCAGGGCTGAGGCGGCACAGGGCGGTCGAACCATTCGCTGCAGTCGCAGTCGAGGCTCAAAGCTCTTTTCATTTTCCCTTTCTCGGACCTCCCGGGGGCCGCCAGGGTTTGGACTTCGAGCAAGGGGCGGTCGCGTTGCATTGCTGTACAGTTCCGCGGTCCCAATCACACATGCACACACAGCAGCCCAGTGCAGCCCGAGGTGCGCCCTCTCGAGATGGTGTTGGGAGCGCCGTGCGCGCCGCCGCTCCAAGCTCGGCCACGCCGTGTCGAGGGCGTCACGCGAGCCTCGACAATCGTGGGCAAGTCATGCCAAGCACCCCAAGCACTTGGAGCAGCGGGCTGGCTGCGGCGCTGGCGGTGCAAGTGCGTGCACGCCAGGCCGCCAGGCCGCCAGCATCCGAGGGGGCCTAAGGGGACCGGCCACGGCGGCCACCTCCCCTCTCACTTTCTGTTCCCGACGTGGCAACGCTGCGGGCAAGGGGCGCGGGCCTTCGCGGGGGCGTCCGTCGGTGGCGGGGCGGGGTTTGCAGGGGTTGGCGGGGGTTCGCAGAGACTTGGCAATGGCAGTGGTGCCCACCCGGTGGCCCGGTGGTGCCCACCCGGTGTTGCCCGCCCACCTCCGCCTTTTTCTTAGGGGTTCGTCGTGCCCTGCGCGGGCCGTGCCGCCATGCCGCCGTGCCACGCCCCGTCAGCCTCCGCGCGCCCCTCCCGCCCTCCGCCCTTGAGCCTGAGCCCCGGCAGAGTGGCGGTGCTGTTCGCCCCAAATTAGGCGGCAAATGGCGTCTGCCGGAATCGGAGCTACAGCCCCTTGGACGGCGCCGTCGTGGCCCACCCCTGCCCCCGGCCGTGGTGCATGTACGACGTGGAGGACGCCGTGACCGTGGTGAGCGTGGCGAGCGTGGTGCGGGCAGGGCCAGGTCCCGGCAGCCACGGCGTGCCCTACTGCGCAAGCGGCAAGCGGGTCAGAGAGGCACGACCACGCCATGCCACGCCATGCCACGGCACAACGCTCATATTGATTCGCGGCCGGGGTGGGGGTGGGGCGGAGGGTGGGTGGGGTGGCCTGGGGGTCTCGTCCGGGGTGGCAGGCCCTCGCAGCCCGGGCCGGGCGGGCCGGGTGGGCCGCGGAGGGGACCAAGGGGAACAGGGCCTCGCCGTCTCCCTCGCGGCCTGCGCGACGCGCGCGGCGGTGCGACGGGGACGACGTCAACGAGGCCGCCCGGAAGGGGAGAGAGTCCAAGAAAACGGCCGAACCGCCGAGGGCAGCGGAGGGCGGCGGCGGGGCTCCCCCGCCCGGCTAATGTTTCAAGGTGTCCAAGGAGGCTCCGTCTGTCCACCAACACGCCAATGAACGCATCGATGTTGATACGGAGGGGGCGTATGGGCCACGCTTCGCACCCAATCTGTTGCTACCTATGATCACGTGGATGCAGAAGTGTCACGGGGAACCAGCACCCTCATCCTCTCAAGTCATTCAGTTGTATCCGTTGAGAAGCGAGCATTCCAGTGGGTATGCAGGCCCACCCTACGCGCCCTCCTCTCCTCCCTGATGTGGTCCGACAGGACGGCGTACTTATGCGGCTGATTTGGTCGCCGGTGTGTCCGAGGGCCCCTTGTCACGCCCATCACTCGCTTCAGGAAGACTCGGCTCGGCGGTTCGAGTCCTAGCTTGCGATTTATCTCCCGTCGTTGAAGCGGCTGAGTCACCAACAGCATTTTGTTCTGTTTGCTGATCAGTATGCGTGTTGCCTCGATGTGCATCGTGAGGACCGACTCAACTCACCGCTTTGGAATCGGACTGGGTCTCATCTGGTGGAGCCAGCGACCTGGACGACCATCGTCTCTGTCTCTGGTAGGGTCCAACCCGTCCAGCCCGGCCCCCGACAGTGTGCACATCCGTGGCCATGGCCCACGCGACACCACGGTGACTGCTGACACTGTCGCCTCTGGGCCGGGCCCCGTCCGGCCCTTATCATGTCGATCAGATAAGGCGATTGCTACTACAGGTGCGGTCCCGACTCGGCAAATGCATGTTGCGCGGAGCATTTCTACGGCTATCTATCAGCATCTTTGTACTTTAGCTGGTGAAGTGCACGCACGCTCGATGGTGCTGGTCCAACCCACTACGCAACGCTGCATTACAAGGCATTACGTTGTGTTTGAATGCCTGATTACGTTGATCGCCAGTTAATGTCTTTGGTTTTGATGAGTGGTATTGTTTGGAGGAGGTGATAAAGATAAAACAATGTTTCCCTTGTATTATAAAAAAGATTTGTAATTATACTATGTGCACATTGAAACACTATTATCTTACAAGAACAGTTTCACATGTACATATTTACAATGCCTTCATAAAATTAGGTGAAAAACAAAATATCTATACAAAACAAAATGTTTGTACAATAAATTACGTAAATTCAAAACTGTACTTAAAATTCATCCTTTATGCCTAATACCAGTGGCAGACCTGGTTTACAATGATCTAACCGATAATGAGACTGTAGGGCCCAATTTAACATAAAACAAAGTCGATAAATATATATTTATAAAAAAAAGAGCTCTCAAAAATGCCACCTACCTACATAAATAAAATTTACAATTAAAACAGTGTGTTAATACAAAGTTCTAAATTCATATGAAAACAAATAAATACACCAGTGTCCATAAAACAGGTGCAGAATTATTTTGGCAAAGCTCTAAAACAGTTTTGACTATCAATGCTCATAGAAAGAAAACACTAATATTGGCCTCTCCCATCAAGGGAATTCTGCTATAGTGATACTATTCTTGGTCTTCCCAGAAGGAGTCCTAGTTCCATAAATATTCAAATCAGTTACATTGTGGATTTTTCTAGATAGGTATGCCATACTTTGAGAGTGTGCAGTTACACAAGCAAAGATTAAATTGTGGTTGGAAGAAGCTAAAACAGTACGGTAACTGGGTTGTCAATACAGTATCTGATTAGTCCAGGTTTATAAGTGTCCAAACTTAACAGTCAACAACACCTTGTGGACATCCAATAAAATAACATTAAATCACTAGATAGAAGGAAAACAGGACATCTGTCTCCATGGTGTGGTTAATAAGTAGTTTAACTTAATTCAGTTTAACAAGGAATCTCAAATAATCTCACAGATAAGAACAAAATTTGCACATACTGTTGTCTCCAACCTCACCAAAACCAGAAGAAAATCAAATCATGAAAATGCATGGGCTAGGTGACAAGAAACCATGATTCCACCATGTTGGAATCCAACAAGACTTAAGAATGATTGAGTGCATCAAGGAGTTTTGTAACTTTTTCAAATTTAGAAAAAAGGAAAGTATTGCACAAACATATTAAGACCCATGGTGATCAATTACGACAACCCCTATCACATGAGTTTTAGAATCTAACTCTGTGCTTTTGATTAGGTTCATAGTAAAAAGTATTCTCAAACAGTTTAAACACTGGATATCATAAAAAATGTTGATTCAATATTGAAACCAAAAACTCAGGTAAAAAACAGTCTTTGTTAACCTGCTTACTCATTCATTAGTAATGGAAACACAGTGCCACTTAAAATTGAGAGCACACATTCCATACATAGTACATCATCAACTGCACAGCAGCCACAAATTACATGATATTAGATGAAAATCTATTATTGCAACTTTGGTTAAAGTATGGCATAAAGATAAAAAACAAGAGCAATAAACTTATTATCAAAATGTTGTAAGCAAGTTGTGAAATTTGACCCTTACATGGAACAGCGAGTCCAGCAGAACTGGATTAAAGCAATTTTTTTAATTATAGAAAAAGTAAAGAAATTCAGAAGCTGGAGATGAAGCAACCGCATGAAGCTGTGAATAATATTGATTTAAGTAAACATTCTGATGTTCAATTTGAACATCTCTAAAGCAGAATTCTCAATCCATACATTCACTTATCATCCAACAACTACTGATTCACACACGTATTATCACACAAATGAAAATAGCTGATAAAGATAAAGAGGGTCACAGCGAGCTGTGCTGTCACATATACATTCACATTGGACACATACTAACAGCAATGAGAGCAAACAAGTATACATGTGTCCTTTAAAATAAAGCTGGCAACATCACAACCATTAGACCACTATAAACCATTATTGATCTGTTAAAACAACTGTCTATTCAGCTCTTAATATGGATCCCAACTTTAACACAATTAAGTTTTCCTTTAAAAAAAAAATGCATAATAAGATGCAAACAATGCCACATCACTTTCAGTAAGTTTCAATTATACAATTACAAACATTTTACCATTCTACACCATCTTTCAAAACACATTATATACAAAAATAAGAACTCCTGCAATGAAACAGTAATTGACTTTTTGTACACTAGTTTGTTCATTTGCATCGCTTGTGTTCCTCTATTCTATGAATAATACACTGTGCATGTTTACAAGAAGACAGCCTACAGGAAACAAAAAGGAGAATTAAATACTAGATTTATGTACATCATAAAAGCTATTATTACAAGAGTATGTTTCTTAATTTTAACATTTTCAACCTTACAAACGTATGTAACAACAATAGTTATAAATTAATTTGAGAGTCACCTTTAGAATATTCATTTACACTTAATTACAGCCTATAATGGGGCTGCTAGAATTTTGTACAAGCCCGAGCACGTTTTGAGCGCTGGACCTTGAAGAGAGGACTTCTGACCACCACGTGGACTATGGGTTAGGAATTGCACAGCCTTAAGCAATCCCTTCCTCCATTGCATATATTTACACACATACAAACAGACAGAGGAGGAGGAACAAACAAATATTAAAAACTAATCAACAGTATATAATGATGACATTGGTACCAAGTTTCACATGACTGCTAAATCCTTGTGACGCATAGCCAAATGATGTTTGGTATCCTACACTGATGAGAAAAGATGATGTAACAAGGGCCAACACGAAGTCAACTCTATCCTCAAGCACAGGAGAGAATCAAATTGTGAAGAAATTCATCTTTCAAAGCACCAGCATAGATAATCCAACATACAAACCACAAACAAAAAAAAGAGGAAAATTCTCTAGTATTTTTGTAAATAAAGCTGCTGCTTTTAAAAAAATTATTAAAACCTTACAGGAGTTTTGATCTGATCAATACATTAATTGTGACTAAGAAATACAATTCAATTTTAGAATAATGATTACTTAAGACAATGATTACAACAAGAAAATCTGATTGTCTTTGAACCTTGAATCCAATTTCCTAAATAATATCTCCATACAGTAATTTTTTTTTTGTTTTTCCCCCCTTTGTAAACTATTAAAAAATTAATGAACAACTTTCTAATCTGTTCTTAACAATAAAAGCACTGACTGCAACAGTAAAAGCGTCCAGAAATACTTCATTAGATCAGTTAAAAAAAGAACACAAGTAAAAAAAGCAGACTACAAATAAACCAGGTAAGAACAGACTGTCAACAGATAAAAGATATGTAGCTTTTGGTGGAGCAGATACTGATTACGTAAGTTGTTTTACAGATTAAAGTACATACTTGTCAAAAAAAAAAATAACATAGATGAAGATGAAAAATCTACCAATGTTAAAACAATTCTAATGTGACTGATTAGCAGTATTGCAATTACTAAGGCTGAATTTGGGCTGATCTAATTTTACACACAAATAGACAAGACATGACAATTAATTAGATAAAACTGCTACACGTACGCTAATTCATTAAGAAGAGTCACATAAAGCTCTTAGAGGTCAATCATAATTTTAAAAAACAGCTAATAGAAAAAAAAAGGGTTAGTAGGATTAGCAGCATAGAAAGCTTGGCACCAAACTGTAATTTCTATCAAGATACATTTCAACTTTAACTAACATCGGCGATATCAGATCTATTTCAGAATTAACTTAAATGAGACTAATATAATCCACCACTATCATCTAACTTCACAATCTTGACTGAGGGGCAAAGAATTCATATCAGTCATATTATGAACATTTTCAGTAGGCGGCACCACTTCACTTGCACGCTCGTCAGGGTTTGATACAGTTTCTGCACAAGCTTTTCTCACATACCCCTCCTCACACCGGGCTAGTTTTAGTTTTAATTTAGGGATGGTTGCTGATTTGGAAGTCCGTACTTTTCTCAAGGCAGAGGCATCACCGCCTTGGCTCTTGTCAGGATCGGTGCCAACACCAGGTGCTTGCTGTAAATCTTGGCTTGCATTTGTTTCTCCAGAGGGTTGATTTTCAGGAAGCAGTGGCAATCTTTCCAAAATACTATCACTTGCATTTTTATCTTGGCCTTCAGCTGTCCTCTCTTGAGTCGGTGTCCCTACATCTGAAGGAGCAACAGATGCATTTGGCGCATTTCCACCACTAGTGCTGTTGGAACTGGTGTTACCTTTGCCGCCAAAGCGAATGATGAGTTTGGGAGCTGCCACCTCGTTCGTAATAACTTCAACTTTGGGTATAGCGGGTGATGGAGAAGGGGACGATGATCTAGAATTTTTCTTCTTCTTCTTTTTCTTTTTAGCAACTGGAGCAACAACTTCTGGTTCTTCCCGGTCATCTTCACCACCCCCAAAGGCTTTCATTATTTCCTTTCTATACTTCATATTCTCGGCGAAAAGCTTTTCCAAACATGGTGCGGCAGCTTGCTGTCGTTTCTTAGGAGGTCTTATCCTTAAGTTCTTCTTCTCCGTAGCAGGATTTGATAAAGCCACTTCTGCAGTGTTGGCCCCAATTTTAATTTTCAATTTAGGTGTTGTTGCAACCTCTGCCGCAGCCGGAGGTACACTGGGATTTTTAGGGGCACGGCCTCTTCTCTTCAGGGGCTGAGATGCATCACCAGAGGGGAATGAATTATTGCTACCGTTTGAACCGACACTACGTCTTCGCTCAGGGAACTCCTCCGAATCTTCGTACTCAGGAGCATCTGTGGTGTTTTTCCCCGCATATGAAATAGAAAGAGTAGGGGTCTTATCTTTTTTCCTCTTCTTTTCCATGTTAGCATCAACAACTGCCCTGTAGTCTTCACGAGTTGGAATGGTGGTCATTGAAGCGACAGCCTTGGGGATGGAAATTACATTGCGGCTGACAGGTGGAGTTGGCTGGACTGCATGACCAGGCATGGCCTGGGCACTTGCATCATCCATATTCATATCCTGAGAACAGTACTGACGTAACAACTCCTTCTTACGCATTCTTCTCAGGTTTGATGTTCCAGAAGCTGAGGCAGAAGACATACCAGACCCAGGTGCCATACCAGGACCTTGCACAGAGTCAAGGGGAGCCACTGCTGGCATTGCAGGTTGCTGTTGTTGAGACATTGGGGTAACTGTTGGTGCAGCTGCAGCATAGTTTGGATCAAGGAAAGGTCCTTTGATTTTCATCTTAAGTTGTTGGCGGGACTCTGGCAAACAAACTCTGGGTTCTTCAATCTGCTTCTCTTTCTCTTTGTCAGCAGCTTGAATTTCTTTCTCAATGTCTTCAGCAATGTCCGGCTCTTGTTGTTCAGCTGATAAGGACCCAAGCAGATTATTGAATGGTGCGGTTTGCGCTGGAGTTTGTTGTACTTCAAATGAATTGTAAGTTCTCATATCTACTGGACCTGGAAGAACACATTCATTGAAGTTTTGTAGTTGGTTAACTTCAGGAGTTTCTTCTGGCTCAGGCGAAGCAGCTACATCATCGTCATCATCATCATCAGCTGCCGATGGACCATCATGAAGTGGAGTTGGTGGACGGAGCTCAGAGAGATTTTGGCTCTGATAAACTGTACTACGATGCTTGCTGCTGACATGAGGAGGACTTGTAAACTTGGGGGACACAGAAGAATCTTGATAAGAGCTTTCAGAACCCCTCCTATCATGGATATCAGTTGACTTTCTTCTTTCTCTCATAGCACGAAGATTTTCTACACTATCGGTCATATCATCATCATCGAAGTCCAGGTCATACACTGTTCCAGCGAGTTTACTGCAAATTCCAAAATCATCATTAAACCCATGATGGCTTCCTCGCCCTTTGCCCCTGCCTCTACCACGACCTCTCCCTTGTGAGCTTTGTCTCGGGGCTTTAGGTGCTTTTTTGACAGAGGTGCCTCCACGAGACTGGTTACTAGCTTTAATAACAGCTGTCTCTTGCCGTGGCGATTTTCCTGGGGATTTCCCTGGGCTTTTCTGTTGAAGAGAAATGACTCTTGGGGATGAACGAGTAGGCTTTGTGGGAGTTTTCTTTCCCACTGATGCGGCAACTTTAGAACTTTGACTAGGAACTGGAGGCAACTGGTGACTACTCTCTGAGGCCGATATGATTGTCTGGGAGTCCAGAGATGTCTGTGAGGAATATGGAGTTGAAGCAGGCTGAGTATCATGAGGCAAAACGGGAGACGGAGTAGGAGGAGCCGTCGATGTGGGGAATGCTGCTGGAGTGAGTGGTGGATCTTGAGGCAGTAAAGGAGTTCCAGTCGGAGTTCCAGTTGGTAGCGGAGATACCATTGCGGCTGTGAATGCCATATTGTGAGATGAGGATGTAAAAGCAGCTGTGCATGGAGCGGGCATTTGCTGTGGTGGCTCTTCTAGCTTTTGCGCCATCGCAGGCATCATGCCATGACTGTGATCGGGAAAGGCCCCGTAAGTAGGGGCATAAATATTAGGGCCAGGAAACCCACTAGGTGGAAACAATGGATTGACGAAAGGTGCAGGCTCTGAGTAAGAATGGTAAGGAGGCGCTTCTGGCATCGGACATGGAGGATATGGCATGGATGGAGCTGCGTAAGGAGCCATTAGCTCTGCACTTGAAGGAGGTACTGGAGCCTCTGGTGTTGGCAAGGGTTCAGCATCATTGTGGCCATCATCATCGGAATCGGTGTCATCTGAAGTTGTGGAGTTGCAGCGAACGGGCAGAACTTGTCGATCAGCCCATTTAGCTTGTGCATGAATTTCAGGATAAGGCAGCGGTGAATCCATATGAGGTGTTTGCGCCATGCTCTCAAATTGATCATGACCCATTGCAGGAACAGAAGGCTGCTGTTCATGCTGCAAGAGAGACTTCTCCAAATCTTGAGAGATAGATTGCTGCTGCATATTTGGCTGCGATCCCAAAGGAAGCATTTGTGATTGAGAGGAAAGGGCTAATGGATCACGTGCAAGTTGGGCAAGGTCGAGATGCTGGGATGTTGCAAGCGGAAGTGAAGGTGGCTGTTGAGTTTCTTTAGGAACATCAGGATACACAATGCCACTTGGAGGAACCCATCTCTCATCAGCTTGGACATTTTTGGTTGAATCAATGATTTGATTAACAGGCATAGCTTTGGATAGACTTGCCTCCACAGCACAGGAGTAACCGGCGAATGAAGGCTCTTGATTGGAAGTTTCATGAGCCGACATGTTCATTTTGTTGAGTGATGGCACTTCCAAGGTATTCGATGACAATCCCAAGTGGGATGACACAAGATGATGACCAGCAGTAATTTCAGGTGCAACAGTTTGGCTCTTGACAACTTCATCGGCCAAATTAACTTCTTCAATGGTTTTCGGTAGCACTGGTACTTCTTCAATATCAGGGTCAGCTTGATCACATGAAGCATCAGGAGGTAGAGCAGGTGCATCTGCCATATCACAGGTACCAGGCTGAGATTTAATCTGAGCATAACTCTGACGTAATTTGTCCAAAAGATTTTGTGTCTCCCTATTGGTGTCTTCTTTAGTATCATCCTTGAAAAGGTGATCATTACTGAATGAAAATTGCAGAGGCGCTCTCATAATGTCTTCAGAATTGGCTGGAATGCCAAAGCCATCATCATTTACAGTCTCATCCACAGCATACAAATCATTTTGGAAATCAAACAAGTCAGACACACCAGAGTCTTTTGGCTGTTGAGGGGAAAATATGGAACGTTGTTGATAGGGTGCACTACTGAGAGAATTACTGCGAGAACTGATCTTCTTGGGTTCTGATACAGCAAAATCAAGACTTGAGTCTAGACCAGTATGTTTGATGTTGTCATGGACTGAGTCAACAACCTTAGTATCAATTTCTACTGGAGGCAATAACTTATCTCCAGCTAGTTGAGGGACTAATGATCGTGAGGATTTATCCTTATTGGCTTCATCATCATTTGAAGTTGAAGATGAGGAAGAAGAGGAAGAGAATGAAGAAGCACGGCTCACATCCAAAATATTTTTGTCTTGCACATCTTTCTTGGGGCTAGGTTTCTTTCTCGTTATCACAGAAGTATCTTTGTCGGATGTGAGAATCGAGTTCATAGTTTTAACCAGTGATTCTTCATCATGTTTGAGACCGATTGTACTTTCAGGAGCCATTTTAGGTGATCTGAAGGAGGGGCTACGCAAGCCAGTTGTAGGAGAACGCAACACTTTTGATTCCTCTGACAAATTGTCTCCAGACAGGACCTTACTGCCAGAGTCAATAGAGGCATTTCGAGTACTTTTTCTTCTTTCAAATTCTCTTTCTGGTGACTGAAGATCTATTTTCTTAGAAACTTTCTTGACCTCAGCTGGACTATATTTGGACTTGCTTTCCTCTTTTGAGGGACTACTGCTTTCGGCTCCTCTTCGCGGCGTTTCGTTCCTCCTGATCGGAGACCCAAGCTCTTTAAGGGGAGAGGAATCTTTGCTTTCGTCTGATTTTCTCTTCCCTGGCTTTGGTTGCTCTTTTTGAGCAACTGGATCTTGTTTTCCCATTCTTCCCCTGTCTCTTGGTGACTCCTCAACTCCCTTAGAGCGCGTCCTTCCCCTGGTCTGTTGGGACTCCTTGAGGGTGTCTGGTTCTTTGACATCAGATAAACCTCCTGATCTTCTCTCAGCTGATCCACCCTCAGCGCTCCGGAGTCGATCACTTGTATCTCTACTGTCTGTCCTGAGGGCTCCTCCCACTGTCTCCTTTGATCGGAATGGTTCATCTCTTTCAGAAGGCGGCTGCTGAAGTTCGAGTTCAGGCCGCCCGGCGGAAGTTTTAAGCTTCTTATCAGGCGCCTTCCTGAACGTCTTGCTCGCCATCTGAAGGGATGAGCCATCCTTTTCTTTTGGAGAGAGTTTTGGCCTTGAGGCAGACTTTTTGACATCCTTCTCTTTGTCCGAGTCTGAGTCGCTGTCCAAGGAACTGCTATCGGAAGACTTGGGCACCTTGCCAAGAAAGGGCCGCTCCTCTTTTTTAGCAGAGACCTTTTTGAGCTCTGACACAGGCTCGGAAATCTTCTCAGATTTAACATCTTTCTTCACAGGAGATTTTGATCTGCTCTCAGAGTCACTCTCAGAACTGGAAGATGATGTAGAAGACGACCCCGAGGAGGAAGAAGATGAAGTACTTGAGGACGATGATGAAGAGGATGATTTAGAAAGCTTGTTGGATCTGGATTCTTGTTTCCTGGCATCCTGCTTCTTTGATTTGTCTACCTCAGTCTCTTTCTTGCCCTTTTCCATGCGAGGTGAGTCGGCAGCATCTTTCTCAGTCTTCTTAATTCCAGTTTTCATGTGCTCATTTGCTTTCTTGGCTGCCTGCCTTTGGGGAACATAGGCCAAGATTTCTGCTGCATCAGGATCTTTGTCAAACTCATATATATCAGGAGGTAATTTGCCATCTCTACCAGATTTAGATTTCTTATCTTCCTCTTTGGCTTTGGATTTAGACTTCGTCTTCTCTGGCTCAGAAGGAATCTGCTTCGATGAAAGTTCTCTGTCAACATCAAAATCTTTTAGTCTACTTTGAGACACTTTCTGAATACTTTCTGAGGCCTTCTTAGCAGCCTGCCTCTGTGGTACAATGAGATCAGTTGGTGCATTATCTTTCTTCTTGGATTTAATATTTTCTTTATCTTTAGACACATCATCAGCTAATTTGTCATCCTTGCTCTTCACTTTAGATGATTTCTTAGGAGATTTGTTGCCGGATTTTGAAGCAAAGCCAGAAAATTCTTTCATGGCTCCTTTTGTCCTCATCATATTTTGGTGGTGATCAGCAGTCATGTTAGAAGAACTTTCATCTTTGGATGCATCGCTGTCAGAGTCAGAGTAAATGGCTGCAAACTTCTTATTATCAGTCTTAGAAGAAGACCTGATGAGCAGGTCATTATCACTATCTTCACTAACAGACATCTTTACATCTGACTCTGGGCCTACTTTTCTCAGATTATTTCGCAATTGAGAGCCTTTGTTCCTTTTCACTGCATCTTCATCATCCGATGATGTATCCTTCCTTACTCTAGCAGGTGTAACAGGCGGTTTCCGGCCGCGCCTCTTAGATGGAGCAGAAGCATCTGTGCTTAGTTTTCTCACCGGCTTCTCATCATCGGTGCTGGAGCCATTGCTGTCAAGACCCAATCTAGCCATTGTTGCTGCTTTGCTGCCTGGTTTATCTTTTTCAGCACTTTTCTTCAAAGATGCATTAGGTTTTTTACGGTTTCTTGATTTCTTGGAATCTTCATGCTTTGGCTTTTCCTCTTCAGTACTCGAGCCGTCACTGTCCAACCCTAGGCTAACAAGGCGACTCTTGGATGAAGTTGAATGAGATGTTGATTCTTCATTCAATTTTGAACTTGATGGTGGTGATCGCAACCTTCCTCCCTTTCTAGAGCTTGACTTCTCCTCTTCTGTACTTGAAGCACCACTGTCTAAACCTAACATAGCTGCACTTTTACGAGAACTTTTATGAGGGGACTTTGCTGGTGAGGGGGACACAGTTTTTGTTTCATTTCTGTCTCTTAAAGGTTTGCGCTCCAAAGAGTGTTCAGTACTTGAAGCAGAGCTATCTAAACCTAAGCGAGAATCTTTTCTTCGTTGGGCCCCGGAATCAGTCTCACTGCCACTAGACATACTATTATATATACTACTACGTCTTCTGGAAGCACCATTCATGTACGTTCGCTTATAAGGATTGTCCATACCAGATCGTCTACCAGAAGACTTCACCAAACCATTCAGTTCTGATGTCTTAAGTTTTTCACTATCCTCAGGTACATCAAGGCCACTGATTCGAGCTAAAATCATTTCAAAGTCAGAAGAACACGAATCTGCTGTGATGTGAGAATAGAGGCGATCATAAATGGAAGGCCCATGATTTGCCTCTATGACTGCTTGGACTTCTAGAGAGGACAATGAACAATGGGGATCACTGAGGACAGCAGCTTGTTTATGGAAAGTTTGTTCACGCATTCTGAAGAATGTTCGAGATAACTTCTCTCTTCTGCTGACCATGTAGCAAAGGTTCCGTACCTGCAAAAAAAAAAAATCAATGCAAGCTGCCGTTAAACTTCACCTAGATACAGATCGCACATAACTATCATAATTTTCAAAATTCTTACTCGCTCTAGATCTTGTCTCAACTGCACAAACATGCGCATCTTGTCAAGATCAGCTTGTTCTTGTTTTTGGGATAGAAGGTCCACATCATCTGACTTTGGAGCCAAGAAAGGTTTATTTCCACCAGCTCGCCGCTTCAGCTTCCAGTAGTTATAGATGTATAAAATACCATCAGGATCAACATCTAGGCACTGCTTGACATCAGTGTGAGCAACATGTTTGTCAAACTCTGCCTCAATCTCCTGGAGCCTGATTCAAACACAATGATGGTATTACAATCAAATATTCTGCACAGAACTGAATTTAAATAAGTAAAACAGCAGAATTGGAGTCAATGGAAGGAACTCACTTGGCAGCTCGAGCTTGGTTTTTCTCTTCGGATGTCATATCTTTTCTCTTTTTACGTTTTGACTCATCATCTTCTGAGGATGCTGAGCTCTTTTTGTCCTTACTTGTAACACTGTGCTTTTGACAATAAGACTGAAACAAAATATTATTATTATTATTATTATTATTAAAATCTAGTTAGATAATCTATCACACATTAAAAACTAAGCTGAACGTGTATGCTTAGAGCTTACTCGTAATTTGACCCCATCATCAGCAGCATCGTCCTCAATGATGGCTCTCATTTCCAGACCATGCTTGAAAGCACAGGTAACATGGTATGCTGTTTTGCAAGATTTTACAGAGCACTGAATGCAAGCTCCAACACGTTCACGGCAAAGAACACATATCAGGGCCCATCTACTTTGCTGTAAATCAAACACATCAGATAAGGAGATGCTCTACGAAATGTGTAACATTAGAGTGATTTTCTAGACAGAGTTACTTACTGGTATACTGGATATTTTGGTAATAGGTTCCATTTTCTCAACAGACCCTATACTAACTTCCGGTATCCACAAAGAACAGGATACATGGGCCCATTTGCTGCCTGACTGTGTACTTTTCATAGCACCCATTTTGTTGGGACAGAGGACACATTCAGGCCTCTTACCGAGAGCACAAGTGCGACACAGCCATTGCCCAGAGGGAATTGTTGTAATACCATAACAAGCTTGATGAACACATATGTTGCAACTATCGCAAAACACCATCTCATTACTTTCTTCGGAGTCAGGCTGCAATTACAAAGGAAACAGTGTGTCATCATTTTCAGCTCCCGCACAGTCAAGACGTGACATAGACTGACGAATGGATTAAGTTTAACGTAAGGCAACACATAAGAAGCGCCAGCTTGAGGTGACTCACCGAACGGCAAACATCACAGATAACATTTTCGTCAAACTCTATACCAAGACTTTCTTCAGTTTTAACGATAGTTTGTATTTTGTCCCAACATCGCATTTCCAGTTCTTCCATTACTCGCTCCACCTGATCTTCTTTGATGGGCACTAGGCCTATAACAGTTCATTTAACATTAAATAGTATGTTATTTAAAAAAGAAACACATTACATTTATTGTTATTGTAATATAATAATGCAATACATACCCATGGCAGCTCTTTCGCCATTCAAAATTTGAAGCCAAGCAGCGTCTGTATCATCTAAATCATATGAACAGGCCTTTTCTGCTTTAGCTGGAGTATCAGAAAGTATGTGAGTTTCTGGGTCAAATGAGTCATCTTTGCATATAGCAACATATTTAGATTTAGGTCTGGAACACATGATAAAACATAACATGATTCAATGCCATAATTGTCATAAACTTCAAATTAAGAGGAGGAAATTAGGAAAAGAGACTTACAGCTTGAATTCATGTCCTGGCTTAGCTGCATATGAGCAGTGGCTCACTTGAGTGACGGAGGGACCTGGAAGCGAGTCAGGGTTCACGGGAACTTGAACACCGCGCTCCCACTCTTGCTTCCATTGATCTCCTATCACCCAGTACTCATCTGCAGTAAGTGGCTCAGAATCAGCCAGTTTCATGGCACTAATTAAATCCTTGCGGAAAAGCTGAAAAATCAAAGCACAATTGTGAAAAACAGGTTTAGGAAAACTACATTCAAAAAGAAATGTGAAAATAATAAAAAAATTGATCTACCTCGCCTACCTCAGCCGGAGCTTCGGCAACAGTACGGTTATAAATGTTAGGGGGCTTGATGCTGTCTTGGGAGCGAGATGCCCAAGCCCCCATGCTGTCAGCTATGGAGGCTGAATCATCATCGTCCACGGTGGGCCGCCCTTTGCGGCGTTTCGTAGGAACTACACACAGATAGAGATTTTTGATAGTGAAACAATGTGAACATAAACATGTTGTTTAAAGGTATTCATTCATTTACAATCAGCTATCACACACATGAACACTACGAGACATACCTGGGCCATCATCTGACTTCAGGGATCGCTTAACTCGTTGCGACATCTTCCCTGTTGAATGGATTTGATGTAGATTGGCCTCTTAAGGCTTCAGAGCCTAGTTAAATCATTAACAGACACATATTAGTACAATATAGCCCAGATAAATGAACAGTTCATTTGAAAGTCATTTCCACAAGTTGAATAAAATGGAATTCACAGAAATAAACGCAAAAGAAATAGTAAAAACGGTAAGCATGGTAAAACCACAGAGGAATCAATAACGTGACTTGACATGAAGGCCTATGAAACCTAATACTCCAGTATCAGCAAAAACATATTGCAGAATCAATAGATGTGGTATATACATGGAAATTAATGAAAATAAGTATTATAAAATTTGAAGGGATAAACTGAGACTTCCATTTTAAGCCAACAATGCAGAAAATGGGTATGACAAAACCAATACTCACTACATAGCTGGAGCTGTACATACAGGTTTATAGAACAGGAGTGAATCTACAAACAAGAAAAATTAACATTATATGCAAGGTTGTACAAAACAAGGCTTTTAAACGTGGACCAGACGCTTATGACACAGATTGGCCTAGTAATCTTAGCTATTGGTGTTTATAACCAAACAGTTCTGTGACAGAATCATCATTGAACTAAACACAAAAGGCTCGTTTCCACACCTCATAGGAATATAAAAACATATCGCGGGATTCAGCAAAGTTAACGTTTAGACGAGAGAAACAAATAAATGAAGTAACAACGCGAAATGAATGTAAAGAGAATGGCCAGGATCGCAGCCTAGGCTAGGCTATTATGATGTAAACATTGGACAGAATTCTTCAATCTAACCGAAAAGCTGTACTTTTCGGCAGTTGCGAACTTACGAAAAATGCAAGGAAGCATTTCGGGTATAAAATCGTCATGTGGAAGGTGCGAAAACAATCCAAATATCATAATGAGAGTAAAAATTCATCCCCGTGGATGAGTAGGCCTAACAGCATTGACAACACAGATGGCAGCACTGTCGTTGAGTTCCACAAACTTTCTTACTTCTCTCGCGTCAGAACAACACAGATATCGATTCCATTTCACTCGCTTCACTTGCTTTGATCACTGCAGTTTCACTGTCACAGAGTCCATAATCTTTGTAGCTATTCATAGTCCTTTCAGCCCACGAAAGAGTGAACAGCCGACAGACTAGAACCAGGTCTGTCATCAAAACCAACATGTCCTCATTAGAAATTCAGCCTCACGACGCAGCAGCAGAACTCACCACATCAAGCTCTATTTCGCACTGAGCACTTTTAGTTACTTTCAAAATGGCTATCATCTAGGGTATCGACCACTTTAATCCACAAACACAATAAATTATCGACATTAAATAGGATACCATCGTTTGGCGCCATCATGCCTGAAAAAATAACTGTAGAAGTTCACATCACGTGATCACAACGCAAAGTCTGCAAAGCGGGATAATGCACATGGCCCAGCATGCTTTGCGCCACTGCGCGTTCGGGCACCGGCGTGACTCGGGGCAGGAAGGACTGCACAGGCGCGGGATCAATAACATCGTCAATCATGTGCCTGGGATCAACTTTAGGCCGCAATATTCTATCATGGGAAGCATCTACGTCAGAATTTAGGTCATACGGATCAAAAACCACTTCCCAATCCCAAACCTTTTTTGATAAGTTGCAAGTTCAAAATCTCCCGCCATTTCAGTAGTTCGTTTATGTCCCATGAGGTGACGCCACGGGTCACCGATGTTAGAAGCAGGCCCTGCGCCGAAACCCCGAAACCCCCCCCTCTTTCCCCCACTCCTGGGAGTTACCACGCACTGGTCCTTCCTGCCCGGAGTCACGTCGGTCGGAACACCGCTCCGTGTCCTCGTGTTCGCTCTTCAACGTCGTCCACCGAGCCGAGTCGGGTCTAGGTTATAGTGCTCCAGTAGTTGTTCAAGTTTTTCACCATGGCTGTCGGAGATTTCAAGTCTGAGAAGGGTGTCAAGGACCTGGACGCCTTCCTCGCCGAGCGCAGCTACGTGGAGGGCTTCGTGCCGTCCCAGGCCGACGTGTGCGTGTTCGAGGCCCTCGCCAAGGCGCCGTCAGCTGCTACCCCGCATGCCCTCCGCTGGTACAACCACATCAAGTCGTACCAGGGCGCCGAGAAGACCAAGCTACCCGGCAAGAAGGAGGTCCCCGCCGCCCTGCTCAAGGGAGGCGCCGCCGCCGCCCCCGCGGCCAAGCCCGCAGCCAAGCCGGCCGCCAAGCCTGCCGCCGATGACGACGACGACGTGGACCTGTTCGGCTCCGACGAGGAGGAGGACGCAGAGGCCGCAAAGATCAGGGAGGAGAGGCTCGCCGCCTACGCCGCCAAGAAGTCCACCAAGCCCACCCTGATCGCCAAGTCCTCCATCGTGATGGACGTCAAGCCCTGGGACGACGAGACCGACATGAAGGAGATGGAGACGAAGGTTAGGTCCATCACCATGGACGGCCTGGTCTGGGGCGCCTCCAAGCTGGTGCCGGTCGGCTACGGCATCAACAAGTTGCAGATTATGTGTATTGTTGAGGATGACAAGGTTTCAGTGGACGCTCTTTCTGAGGAAATCCAAGCCTTTGAAGACTTTGTTCAGTCTGTTGACATTGCTGCCTTCAACAAAATTTAAGTTAATTCTTTTCTAATTTAACAAATTTATATATTTTACTGATAATTTGCGATACCTGTCTTGTTTTGTAATTACAATGGAAACGAACTGTACTGATGACCCAGTAAACGATGCTCACCTGTATTTCTGTGTTTTAATCCATGTCATGTCCATTCAAGACACTTTGTTCTAAGTCATAAGGTTTGAATATTAAATCAATGTCTTTTAATTGTTTATTTATAAATACAACAATCATGCCTCCTTTTAGTAACTATACAAGATCACAAAGTGAAATCACAGCAGGCTTGCATTTTATTCAACAGATTCAATAGAAGACATTCAATTTGCTGTATGAATATTCAATAGATACTCTCAATTTGCTGGATAAGGTTAGCTAGGATTAGCTACATCAAACAAAACCAATATTAATATAAGGAATAAAGTGAACATCAGATGTAAGAAATCCACTGAGACGTTGGCAGTACAATGCTCAAGTGAGCCCTTGAAACTTTGGCAGTATAGATTTGGAGTACTTTTTAGTCTCGATGAGATTTTTCTGCACAGAAGAAAAAATGGTTAGTGTCAGCACTATTAAATCAATGGCAGATACAAGCTGTAATTTCTTACCTTCAGCTTCCTTAACCAAAGGTGCAATAGCTTCTAATGGTGGAGCAGAAGTAAAGAGAGACCCTGACAGGAAGGATTGGAAAAGTATATTAATTTAGCTGACAAGAAATGATTAGGTTCACCCTGAAGCATTGAACACTCACCAACCATATACCGATTAGCCTCAACAGAGAGACTTATTACTTTGCAGTTGGCTTTATTGTTAATGTTGAAACCCATGCAGTGAAATCGTTTATCAGTTTTGTACAATACATCTCGAGGGACTTTGTAATAAAAATAGGGGCGACCTGAAAATGGGTTGATAAAGTCTGCCCAGTAGCCCATATCCATTAACTGTCCACAAATTTTCTGAGCAGCTAATAAGAACTGGAAAAGTTAGACATAGTATCAGAAATAAGGGACATCAGTTGATGAAAATCATTCAAACCCGAATATTATGCCTACAAGCTTAGTCAGTTCATCAATGTCTTGACGCCGTCCCCTTCGGTACAGAGGTTGTCTCAAACTGATGATGGTAGTGTTTTGTTGACGGAAATCCAAACCAGGGAACATTTCCATTAACCCTGAAAACAGAAAGAAAAATAAGAAACCGATACCAAGTTTCAAAATTACATAAATAAATTACTACAACCTGCACGAAGAAGAAGGGGGCACTCTTGGGCAGAATATTCCATTGACCCTCCTTTGGTATTCTTGATTAACAATTAGAGAGAAAGTGATAAGTACACACGATTTCTGAGGAGAGGGAAAAAATGAATGGGAAGTTACCTGAAATGACTTGCTGTATTCAAGATGAGCTGTTGAGCTGTTGTCTAACCAGGCATGGCCCAATTTACCGGGCATGTAGAGTCTATATCTCTGAGCTAATAGCTCCCAGTTGGAATTATTTACAGCAACTATACAGACAGTCAACAAAAGAACAGGTCAGGCCACTGATTTAAGTCAAAGTCAAAATCTGCAAACTGTCGACCAAGTACCCTACCATCAGACTCAACAGAGTACGGGACTAGATTATAAACATCTTGACCCTCCTGGCCATTGTCACTGTTGCGCTTTCCAGAGTATAATGCTTGGAGTGTAACATTAACACTTCGCACCACATTTCTACTGAGAAGTCGTTGAGAACACAGCATCTGTAAAAAAAAATAATTTATGAACTGACAAAGGCAGATTTGAAATAAATTCATATTTGCATCAGACCAAAACATAACATAAGGAGACAGCCAGGATTTGAAGACTGTATAGTTCATTCATTTGCGACAACAATTGTGAGATAATGAGGCGTATTGAATAAAGAGATAAGGAAAGACACAGAAAAAGGGGGAACAAATTCACGGAATATACAATTAGCAAGTGACTGCGTAGGAGGAGTCAGGTTAGGTTAACATTTGACTCGTACACTATAGCAGACGATGGCTCAGCTTCAATGATATCCAAGGTTCTAATGTCAGGACGCAGCTTTAAGTTGTCAACCAAATAGGAGTAAATGACTCTACAGACAAATACTAGGGTATCGATTCGTGAAAACTTCAGCACAGAGACAAACACAAGTTGAACAAGTAAAACAAACCTTTCTGCTTTGCAGAACAACAACAACAAATGTCAAAGTGGCCTTGGGTTGGGCAAGTACAGTCACACGATTTCGACGTCCGTTTTCTTGTAAGAAGAGAGTTAAGTTATGAATAAATTTATGGATGTTACTTCAAATCGTAGATCATCATTTGAATTATCAAATCTTGGAAACGAGAAGAAAGTTTTTGTGTATTGTGATTTCTTTAAATTGACCATAAGTGACCTCTGGTTGCCCTTTATCCTTGCGTGTTTATATGCTTACCCACGTCGGCTGAGGCTTATTTTCGGGTGGTAGGCCTAGTGTCAAAAGATAATGAACCTTTATACTAGGTAAATGAGATGTGTAACAAGACTATTTTGGCTTCATAAGGTACATATAGTTACCTATCACCTTATTATTTAGTTTAATATGCAAATCATTCTGGTAAAGGTGGTGCAAAGGGGTTCTGGAGACGTGACATCAGGGCCTACTCGACGGTCGCTCGGAAAAGGCTTGGGCCTGTCTAGCAGACAGCATTTTGTGCACAATATTATGTTGTCGTTTTGACTCGCCGACCCGAAAGCCACCAAAACATAACATTCTTCCAAGGTAGGTCTTCTACTTCACCTCTAAGTATAGTTAACCCCCTTTTCATGACATGCTTTCAAGTATGAGGGCTGAATGATCTAGCTTTACTGCTCTTCTGCTGTAGCCAATAGTGCTTGACAGTTAATCTATCTCTTTGACATGACAGCCATTTTCCACATGTCCAAACTCAAGTTAAGTCTTGTTTGTTTGAACAATTCTTGCCTTAGTTTGATATGTCAGGCGCAATAAAAATTGGTTCCACATCCTATGCACCTTCTTTGAAAAGCCACTTGTGTTCTCGGGAAAGTTGATTCATCACTTTCTTTTCAGATGGAGTACAGTTTATGGAATATGCATGGGCCAACACTCTGGCCATCCTCCAGCTCAGTCAGCCGCACACTTTACACCACCGTTCATGGAGAAACAATAGAGGAGATTCAAGGAGACCTGCCAATTGTGACTTCAGAAGAAATACAAGCTAGCGATTTGCAAGTTGGCATTGGCTCTGAAATTATTACAGGAGATATTCATAGTGATTTAACCACTGATGTGCAAGAAGTCGTTGCCAATAGCATTCACCTCCATGATGGAGTTTCAGGAACTCTTGGCATACAAGATGACATTACCACAGGCATTCAAGGTACAAAATTTTTTAAAAAATTACTTTTATGTCAAAATTTTGCAGTATGAGAAAATAACTTACAACGTTTAAGAACATCTAAAGATTCACTCTGAACTTTTTATAATTAAAGAGGAGGCAAAACCAATAAATAAAACATTTTGCATTGTTTTCAGTCTGTGGCAATCAGCCAGGATTTGTGGCTATGAAACCAGAACCAGAGACAGATGAGCAGGTTAGCAATAAACCTTTAAGTGCCTTGTCTTATAAAAATTTAAACTTGGTGTCAAGTTTTAAAAATATGTTGATCACTTATTTTTTTATGTTTTTTAATATCTTGTTCACAGGTTAGTTTGTTGGTGAGCCATCCATCTCTTGGCTTGGATCCTACTTTGGGGTCGGAACCAACTAGTATTGTTCTCAAAGTCGAAACAACTCCTCAAAAAAGGGTAAGTGAATTTGCTGTTTCCCAGTATTTTCTTGCTGCTTATTTTATGTTTTGCCTAACATATTTTTGCCACTCCAGATTAAAATTCAGCGGCCTCGAAGGGCCTTGGCTATTTCAGCAAGAGATCTTCATGATCCTGTTGATATTAATTTGTCTGGCACCATTCTTCCACCAGTGGATAATTTGTGGAACAACAGCATTGTTGGTGCAAATGTGAGTGTGAAGACAGAAAGTGATATCTCATACATAGATGATACCGATAAAGTTCTTACAACTGTGGGAGCTCCATCTTTGTATGAGCCAATGGTTGGACGGTTGCCTGTAAAGCAACTTGAGCCCCTGTCTGATGAATCTGAAGAAGAGGACGAAGAAAGTATGAACCAGGGCGAAGACACACTTCATTCCTCCTACAATCAACAAAATCTTTTGCCAAGGTGAATTATTTTATGGTTATTATTGCTTTGCTATAAAATAGATATCTAGCCTCAAATAGTTAGAAATAATCGTCCATTACATAGTTGTTAAAATTGATTTTGAAAATTTTATCTTGCCCAGAATGAGCTTGAATACTGCCGGAAAGGTGGGATATGAATGTGGTGAATGCGGGTTTATGGCAGACACCAGGCCTGGCCTCAAAAGGCACATTACTGTGATGCATCCTGCTCCTGCACCGGATGCCAACTTAGCTCATGCATTGATGCGTAAACTCTCACAGTCTGCCAGTTGTCCTGTTACATCTTGTCGATATCGCGCTGGTGATCGTGATGAGATGGAGGCTCATGTAGCTAGGCATGTGGCAGAAGGAAGTGGAACAGCAACTCCTAAAAAGAAATCAGTTCCTTCAAACCTTCAGAGAGTGAGGTACGTTGTGTTTCTTTGACTGTCTGGTTAATTAAGACTTTCTGTAAGTGTTCTTGTCACTACATGGTGTTGTCTTCACTGGTTTAGGTATGAGCGGGAAGAATACCGCTGTCAAATGTGTTCCTATGCTTGTACCATTGAGAAAGCATTCTATAAACATTTGAAGATTCACTCAACTGGCACCTCTCCTTTGCCACCTGCGGGATCAAAATTATCTTGTGTTATTTGTGGTAAAGATCGACCCTCAGAAGCAGATATGAACAAACACATGCGAAAGCATAGAGATGATAGATACTTCTGCTGTGACATTTGTGTTTTTCGTACTGTTCAGCTCAAAAAGGTTTGTTCGGTGAAATGTTTCTTTAATTTCTTTATCAACTTAAATGAAGTGAGGCTTATATGATGACTATTTTTACAGCTTATTCAGCACCGGCGAATGCACACAGGGGAAAAGCCCCACCTTTGCCCTCACTGTCCATATCGATCAGCTCGGAGAGATAATTTGAGGTCTCATGTACGGCGTGTCCACAAGAAAGAGAATTTGTTTTGTGACACATTTTCGCCTAGAGGCCTTGTGCCTGGTGCATCAGCTACCAGTCCAACCTCCAGTCAAGATTAAATTTGTGTATTTTGCTAAGCATATGTTAGTCTCCCAACTGTTTGTCTAGTGCATTGTGCAGTTTATTTTGCTAACTAGATACCTAGAGTTTTATTTTCAGAACCTCTTTATTAACATGACTCAGCAACTATTAATTAATGCTTTTGCAAATTGGTGTGGAAGAAGATATTGTGGCCTTGGAATCCTTATTATTGCTGTCAGACCATTTTGAAAAGTGACAATCCAATAGGAATTGTGCAATTGTTCACTCCTGTTCGTTGTTTTTGAACTGTATTTATTTTGTTTACAAGTTCTGTTGTAATGTTTAGATTGGTATAAAATCCAAGATGTTTATTATTATTATTTTTTTTTTTTTGTTATCAATTTGAAAAGTTACTCTTGTTGTTGAAATTCAATTTTCGTTATTGATGTTTAATTAATTCTTGATATGTATATCTCTGTTAAAATTCAAATTTTGCAATACCTCAAAGTTATCCAGATTGAATGAACTTTGTGAAATGTAACTCAAAATGTGTTGTTGTGAACAGAAGCATGAGAGGTGCTCAGTGGTGTGTTAAATCTGGAGGGAAAGAGTGAACCAGCGTATGTGCTCTTTCATTTTTTGTGTGTTTGGTGTTATTTCAAATAAGTAGAAACAAGCTGTACCTTTGTAGTGGAATGAAGCATTCGGGTCCCCTGATTAACTTATAGAAATTTAGTGTAAGTAAGGGGTGTGTTCTTCAAGTAAGTTAGGCCCCTTGAGCAAGACAAGTTCTATAAATATTAGAGTATTATATTGCATGAGTATTGTCCGGGACTAACCATTTAATTATGGCATAGTTGTCTTATGTTTCATGAGATGAAAAAACTTGTGACTAATTGCTTTCTGTTGCCATTGTACTGTATGTGTACCTGAAGTAGCTTTTAGTGCCAACCTCCCCCTTAATTTTCAGAGTAGTCAAGTGGGGTCTTTTTATTGTATCTTCTTACAGGTCTGTGATCTGGCAATGCAGTCTCTTTCTACAGGTCATTCATTTGGCATTTACTAGCTTTCCTTTTCTTCTTAGACAGTGCTCACCTCACAGTTAGTTGAAATTTATCCTTTCTCTGCTTGAAGTAGTTGTATAAGCGTGGTAGAGATCTTCTTGTTCAGGCTAATCATACAAACTTTACTAAGTGTGTGTTTTTATAATCTTGCAATCCCTTTGCAGACCCACTTCTTAGATTCTTGAAATATCTTCAAATTTTATTACAAGTGTGTCAGTTTGCCTGTCTAAAAGATAGGCTGTTAATAATTAAATTTTCCCCCTTGAATCCCAAGTATTTCGAATTTGGTTTTCAATTTTAATTGAGAGAAGTCATAAGCGAAGGGAAGGTTGCACAGACACATGCTGGTTACTACTTAATTCCGTCAGTTATTGTTTTATTCCCTGCATTTACCGTCATATCAAAAATAAATCTGGAAGAGAATGCTGCTTTTATCAGGGTTGGTCACGGATACCCTAAATCAATAATTTTGGAGGAGAAACGGAAAAAATATTATTTTTGTGAATGAGTAGGCACTAAGGTGTCCCTGCGATGAATACATTGTTGGTTACATATCAGGCAAACATGAGAATTATTTCTTCACATGAGTAATGTTTCTGCCTATTGTTAAAGAGGGTATTTTTGTACTGTTTGATTTAGTTCAAACGTGGGTATGTGAGAAGGTTGGAAAGTTTTATTTTCAGACATTATTACTCCAATACATAGAAATATTTGTTTATTGTGGATTATTAATATTAGGCAGGAAGTGTCTGTACCCCATGTCATTATTTTTTTTAAATTAAAATTTTGAGTGAACCCAAGAGTTATGACAACCTGCTTGATTGATTCATAAGTCATAAGGTCCTTTGACCATTACAATACATTTGATTGATATGTGATATGATATGTATGTTTATACTTTATTTTTTGAAAGTGCGATTGAGTAGATTTATTCTTGAGGAATTACTGAGGATGTAATGATCTGGGCTGCACGCGTTGGGTTTGATATCAAATTCTCAAATTCTTGTGCCAGTTTCTTGTGCATAATCTCGCGTATATGATTGTAATGAAGGAGCAGGAAGGTCAAACCATTGTTGCTTTTCTCAATCATTCATTATGCGAAGCTTTGTGGACTCTCCAAACTATATTATACCAAAGCTAAGCAAGGGTAGACATTGTTATTATCTACATTTTATTTTGTTATTGCATGCATTGTGATAAATGATGTTACATGTATGATCGAGTGAGACTGCTGGAGAAGGGTTTGTATCCTATGAGTTGAGTGAGATGGCACTAACCAGTTTGAGATTGCTCATGTAGGCCTTGAACCACACAGTAGGGCAGTAGGAAACAATGAGTTTTGTAAGGAAGGGGTTGCTTTGTGTAAATATTCTATAAGCAGAGGCAAAAGTTTCCATTGGTCCTGTGTCTTTTATGTGGCTGTGAGGAAACAGGAAAATTCTCATTTTTATTAAGGGTTACTTTTAATGTTTTGTGCAGGTGATTTTAATTTTCACTATTAATAATGTTTGATGTTTGGAAGAAACTATGGTGTTTTGGGATTTCATAATACCTCTTTGTCTTTGTGTATCATAAGTTGATGTGTGCATTACCCAATCTTCCCCATAATTTCCTTTCACTCTCCTCTCAGTTTAGCAAAATCATTGTATCAAAAATTGTGCCATATTCCTTTTCTATCCACAAGCATAATTTATATAAGGGTGCTATCGCCATAGAAGACAACCAGATGAATGTTTTAAGCATGATCTGTGTTAGATTCTGAATACATGTGATTTTGATGTGATTGTATGATAGTTTTGTGAGGGGTGCGCTGGTTGTTTATGGTTGGAAGTTTTTTTTTCTTATCACGATCTGTCATACCTGTGAGTGGACAGGGCAGGATTAACTCCATAGTTGACAATGCAACATTCGTGGCACAGCTTTCAATAGATTTTTATTAAAATGTTGGTCAAATGCTTCCCTAATGTTTTTTTTCAATGTTTTAGAATTATGTCCCATAAAGAACCGTTTGGTAGACAATAATGGAATGCGTGGTCTGGTCTAATCGATATAGCTCATGCTATGTGTATGGTTTAGGACAATAATGAGCAAAATAAGATAGCATGTTGGCTTGCAAGAAGTCCAATGAGCTCTTTTCAGTTTTGTTTCTGGCTTCTCTTACATTCCCCATTTTACTAGTTAGGAAGTTCCTGTCCTTATCAGTGCAGAAAGCCTTTGCTTACTTCGACAATTTGCTGATTTTTAATTTTCTGCTTTTAGTAAATCTTGTTACATGAATTTTCAAGATGTAAATTAATGTTGCCAATTTTTGTCGACTCTATGATTTTGATGAACATGAAATCAATTAATTAACTTGTATTACGTAGTTCCCTGCCCTCACCACTTTAGGTATTTTATCCTTCTTTTTGTTACCCAAACTGTTAAGGCTTCATTTTAGAATTTGACTAAGATAAAATCTGTGTGTTTTTTCTTGAGAAATATCATATGAATGTTCAATTTTGTGTTTGGAATAATAAAGGACAAATACCAATCAGTGTCACATTTCCTTTACTGATGTCCCCATAGCCCCTCTTGTGAAATAACTCTAATTCACTTGACTTGAGAAAAAATTTACTGAATCAACAACACATGAACATAACAATTTTTACGCCTTTAAGCCCACAGCTTTCTTTGAAAGGAGGACCTCCATAGCTGCTTTCTTGTATTCTTCTATACCCTCTTCTGTTTCACCTAAAAAATAAATAAAACAAAAACAAGTGTTGTTTGTTATAAATTATGACCCCATTAACCATGGTCTTAAATTGAATATCCAAATGCACATACCTTCAATTACTTTCTTGACAGCAGCCCCAAGCACTAGGTGTTCAGGTTTGAGCTCGTCAGCTGGCAAAGTATCATGAAATATGGATTTGCCCAATTTGTCAGGAGACCATTTCACAATGGAAGCCAATGCTTTGGCTGAAATATTATTTTCCCAAATATATTTCTCCATGTCAGCTTCAGTCTTCTCTGACTCCCAATCTTCCACTGTCTGAAGTATTAAGAGATTATAGTTGTTAAAGTACATGACATTGTTCCAAAATCCAAAGTGTAAAAAAGAAAACATGAAGGAATAACATACCCAAGACTCAAAGAAACATGCTGTGAGAAGGTATTGAGCATAATCATAATTCTGTTTCCGTAACGGACATCGATCAGTAACAATAGTTAATGTGTCAGTTTTATCATCATATCGGTCTCTGACGAGGCGCATAAATTTGTCTCTAGCATGTTCATCAAGAGGAATGTTTTTCAGCTTCAACTAGAATCAACAAAATGTAAAACATTAGTACAAACACATCTGAGCATTCTCACCAAACAAGTTCTATTAAGTTGTTAACCTTTACCTTAATGGTCACAATTCTGGCCAAAGGGTCCCTGATAGTAGGTGCTGAATGTAAGTAGTCATTGGTGATCACTGTTAATGGGAAGTGTTCTTCACACTTCTCTTTGCTGTTTAACTGATTGGGAAAAGGTGTGCAAAATGACTTTATAGCCTCACATTGAGCTTTGATAGTGGTTGGTGGGATATGGAAGAACGATGGAATTTTCATAAGTTCCATGTTTGCATATTTGTCGAAAGCTCTTCGATATGGTTTTAATCGGCCCTGCCTGACAGGAATAGGTATAGAGTTGGGATCAAAGGAGCGAGGACCAGGCCAGATGCTCTTCCAGTCGGCTTTGTCTGGGTCTATGTTATTGGTCCTGAAAAAATTGTTAAATTGCATGAACCAAACATAGGCATCACAAATAAATCTTGAGAACAAAGGGCCGCAGAACAAACCTCTTGTAGTCTCTTGGCATCATCATACGAGCCTTGCTCGATGTTTTTCGATCACGACGTACAGGTCTGATTTCCAGTTGTCTAAATTCACTTTCTGAGAACAGGAAGAAAAGGTTTAAATAGCACAAGTTAGAGTCAATTTTATGGGACCATTAAGAGATACAGATGAACTTACCATCATGGCTTTTAGGATCATACGATTTTGACGACGCCAATCTTGCGACATGGTTGAAAACTAACTGCACCCTAACTGGTTTGAAACCCTTCAGGGGCATCTTAGGAAATGATAACAGAGACATTTCCACAATAAATAGGGATCAATCAAAACAACATAACCTTCCGGCACTTGTCCGACAAGTCTTGTCGGTGTCGTCTGCAACTGAGAGCGGATATCCTGCAAATAAGTTCTCGCTCGCCTACAAAAACCAAAAAGATACCAAGTTTGTTAAGCGGATCTCACCGAAAAATGTTGCAAAAATTCAAACCAAGACGCATAAAAACATTTATTTTACAAAATTAAAATAACTAGGTCTTTCCTGAAGCAAGAAAAAGGAACTGTCAGTCTTGTTCCCAGCTAAGGTTCAAGTTTGAAGAGTTGTTTGCCCTGAGATTATTCGCAGCAGCTGGACTCGTATCTTGTTTTTGTTGACCTGCTTGTTGTTGTTTTTGTTTGTTCACTTTTAGCATAAACATGGCAGCTCCCAGACCAAAATCTCCAGGTCCTCGAGGACCTTCCAAGAAAGACGATAAAGAAGAGTCGTTTTGGGAGAAAATTGGCACTCTCGGAAGGAAGAAAGGCATCAAGAAAGGTGTGCAGTGCTTCAAGTTCTTAGGATATTCTGTTTCCCCTTCATGTCCTTGTATGGCATGGCAGGATGACGTTCGGCCGTTCGGGTGGGCGGGCACATCTGTTGAGTGTTTTCCTTTGTACTGGAAATCATTTCGAAACTCGAGTGTTCTTTCATTTGAATTGCATCAAGGTTCTGACTTTTAATTAACTGTCATTAAAAAATGGCCACTTCCACGAGACAGGTTATTTTTGTCACAGACACTTGTGTCACGCCTTGTTAACATTAGTATGCCAACTTTATTAAGCTCACTGGCTTACTTTTACAGTAGGTTGTTCTGTTTGCCCCAGTAATTTTGACTTCTCCATTCTATTCTTTTCATATTTCAGTGCAAGAGGTTCAGGAGGAAGGAAAGCATGCCATCGACTCTCCAGGAAGCCCGACTGCGATTGATCACCCACCAGAAGAATATGAATTGGGTACGGTAGTAATAAATACTTCCTCAGTCTGTCGTTATCATCTCAATTTCCATTTATTTAATACTGTGTTTTCTGCTTTTCCAGGAGAAAATGAAGAAAGAGCTATTATTGAAACAAAGTCCATGGAAAATGCAAAATTCAAAGAGCTTGTTATGGTTCTCATTGAATGGATAAATGACGAATTGGCTGCTCAACGCATCATTGTAAAATTCATTGATGAAGATTTATACGATGGCCAGATCTTACAGAAGCTTTTGGGTAAGCAGAAGGTTTTTTGTTATGTATTATAAACTGAACTGATTGATTTTTATGCTCTTTTTTCTCAATTACTAGCTGCTGGATGGGATATTGATTTCATATTTCTAATTTTGTTACAGAAAAATTAACAGGTGAGAAATTGGACGTCCCAGAAGTGACTCAGTCGGAAGAGGGTCAAAAGCAGAAGTTGAGAATAGTGCTTGCTGCTGCCAATAGAGTAAGAAACCTTTACTGTATCATATTCTGTTTTTAAATTTTTATTTACGAGATGGTATTGTGAGAAATAACACGTGTGACCTGCTTTGACTTAATTTTGACCTTCTAATTAATTTTTGTTTAAAGGTTCTTGGATTACCTCGATGGTCAGCACAAAAGTGGAGTGTTGAAAGTGTACACTCTAAAAACATTGTGTCCATTTTGCACCTGCTTGTTGCCCTGGCTCGCCTCTTCCGTGCACCTGTACGTCTCCCAGAAAATGTGGCTGTGAGCGTTATCATTGTGCAGGTCTGTTGTTTGCTTCTACTGTTGTGAAATATTCTCAGACACTGCAATGAAATTGTATTAATGATTCTCTTGCCTATCTGTTCAGAAAAAAGATGGCACTTTAACGCACAGGACAGTTACTGAAGAAATCACATCAACTTATGATGATCTGGGAATGCTCTGTGAAAAGGATGCTTTTGACACATTGTTTGATCATGCTCCTGACAAACTAGATGTGGTCAAGAGGGTAAGTTTTCAAGTGTTGAAATCTGGATTAAAAATGAAGGTTTTGAACAATTTTGAAATGAAAACAATCCTTTTCTTTCAGTCATTAATAACATTTGTCAACAAACATCTGAACAAGATTAATTTGGATGTGTCAGAATTGGAAACCCAGTTCCATGATGGGGTGTATCTAACTCTACTCATGGGGCTTCTTGAAGGCTTCTTTGTGCCCCTGTATGATTTTTACCTGACTCCTCAAGATTTTGATCAGAAAGTACATAATGTTACCTTTGCTTTTGAGTTAATGCAAGATACTGGACTTGCTAAACCAAAGGCTAGACCAGAAGGTTTGTACATTAATTTTTCAGGTCAATCCTTAATAATACCTTTAATGAATCAAACACCAACATTTTTTTTTCTTTTTCACAGACATAGTCAACCTGGACTTGAAATCAACTCTGCGAGTGTTGTACAATTTGTTTACTAAGTACAAAAGCATGAGCTAAAAAAATAAAAAGGGATTGTAACGGAAAGTGTAAAGAAAACCTTGTCAAACTCAATCAATGACGGGTGGATCTTGTGCTTTAATTGTTTAGACTGCAAGAATTATATGCATCCATCTGGCTGGAAGCTTAGCGAAAAACAAAACAATTACTACCATTGGTTTATTTGGACTAATTGTGACTGACATGCTTTGGTAGTAAATAGAGACCACTTTTCAGCTGCTTAACATACCACTGTGTTTTACATCTTGTCACAAAATTCTAACAGGGTAATTTAAGAGCCTTATAGATATAACACATGAGTCTTCAATTGTATTTTATAAACATTTTTAAGTGTTTCTTGCCATATTTGTATTTTGTGACGTATATCTTTTGATATTGTGTAACATAACATTTTATCGCCGCCATTTCAGTGTACCCTTGATGCGGGTATTGTTCATTAAGTGCATGCAAGTTCATTCATTTTCACTGGCATCAGTTTCACTGCCACCATTGTTCTCTAATGTTTTTTGTTTCTTTGTTAAATTTTAACTGTTTTATGTTTAGATGTAATCTTTTATTTTTCTCTCGAAGTGTTTTACAAGAAAAATGAAATCTCTTAAGTTATTAACACCTGTGAAATACTTGAATAATTTATTAGTGTATTAACTAATAAACAAAGTATGAATTAAAAACAATTTTTTTAAAAAAATAACAACATACTAGTGCTTTTTGAATAAAAGACTAAGGTGGAGCCCCCTGAATTTTCTGCCAGAAAGATATTTTGTTAACTACGACAGCACCAACACTTTGCTCTGGACTGAATGAAATGTTATAATGTTTAACGGAAGAACCAGTTGTTTCTAAATTGGTCATAGAATAATCACCAGTGTCGCCTGATGAATTTCTATTAGCACTCGCCTTTTCAAACATCCATACAACATCAGTAAAATAGATGTCAATCAGAGGGGACATTTTCGGATCAGATGAGTCTTGATTCAGTGACACTATTAAATGGGCTTGACCCTTGGAACGTTTGGCACACACTGCTGTACCGTCAAGCAAAGCAGCGCAAACAAGTGCAGCATGGGACGCCTCTGAGGCACGGCTGCTAGGTTCATATACGTCGCTGCGATCAGGTGCAGCACAGAAGTGTTCAAGAGAATCCACAATTATCACAGTCGGTACAAGTGCATGTAAGTGCAGGGAGTAGACATGCTGCAGAAGATCTTGCCAACAAGGAAGGTACCTGCAAATATATGGTGAAATTATAATGAGAGTTTGCATGGCGGTGACAATAAAGAAATTGAGGTCTGAATAGTTTCGAGTACTTACAAAAATTTGATTAGGGAAAAGACATCTGGAGTCGGCCGTGTCATTCCTTGTATCGGAAGGGGGAGACTGTCAAACTCATTGGCAGTGATGTAGATGATGGTATGACCTTGCTCGGCGTAGTGCACGGCTCCCTGATGACAAACATGAAACGACACCAAAAGTGAATACTCGAGGGTTTTTGGCCGAATACTCCCCGCCTAACCTGTCCTTCTCAAGCTGGCAGAGCACATCAAATCAAACGTACCTGCATAAGAAATGAAGACTTGTGGGAATCTTGCAGCCCCACAAGTAGGACCGAAGTAACGTTTGGAGGTTTCATTCTTATTTTGAAGTGTCACCGCGTATAAACTTCACAACGGTCATAAATAGTCATGATAATCACTTCAACTCACTTCTGCTTCTGCACCGACGATTTGGCGCCAAAACAAACGAACAGCTGCGGAGCTGCTTCCGGTTTGTGCCAGCGGCAAATTCAAATTGAAACTGGCCGGCCTGACTGAGAGCTTGAGAGGAAAAGGGGCATGAGGACATGAGGCAGAAAGATGATTTTCAGGGACATCCTTACTTTTGTGAGGGACAACACTCGTTTAAATAAATGAATGATTTTTAATTCAAATATTAAAAAAAGCTTACTTCAATCCTTACCCTGGATCTAATTCATATTTATTTATTGGTGAGTGTCCAAACAATACAGAAGTTCTGCCTTTGGCCTGTGCCGAATCGGCAGACAGTTCAAACCAAACCAGGCTTCACTCCACCCCCGAGCCTGGAGAACAGCCGAGCGATTCCGAAGAGTCGTTTCGTTGGTACGCCTCTGTCGCACATAAGGGGCTTAAGGGTGCGACAAACCGATCCATTGAATCGCTCGGCAGCCTCCTCATCTCCCGAAGCATTCCCGAACACTCCCACCAAACTACTGTTCACTATCACACGCGAATCCCTATTAAATTTGATGAGGGAAGAAATTTCGCGAGCTGCGTCGGAAAAAGCCACCAAAAGCCCCGTCGGACCTTGGGGGGAAAAGCTCCACGGGAGAAGGGGGAGCGGCATCAGCACACCCTGTTACTACATTCCAGACGGCGGCGGCAGCGGCCTGCCATGCCAGAGGACAGACAGCCTTTGCGCGCACAGCTACCCGGTCCACCCGACCCGACCCGACCCGACCCGTGCCAGCCCCACCGCGACGCCATGGCGACGCCGCGCCACACGGCCACGACGCCACGCCCTTGAGCCAACACACAGCGCGCCCGGAGCACCCTTCTGGCCGCCCCGCCCCGCCCCGCCCCAGCGTCACCCTGTCCTGGAATTTCTGCCGCCGATGTGCCGCGTGGAGGTCGTCGAGGCCGAGAGGGCAGAGGCGGAGCCGTGCCGGGGGACAGCGGTACGGCGAGGCCGAAAGACAAATGGCCGAGGACGGTGGACGCACTTTGTTATGATAGCGACGAGAGGGCCGGCCGGGGGAAAGCGAGGGGGATGGGGGTAAGAATTACGGCGCGGAAACGACGAAGGCAAGCAAGGGAAGGGCGCAGGCAGGCAGCGCAGCCTGGCCCGTGTTTTTCTTCATCTCCCGGCGAAGGAGGGAGGAAGAGAAGAGAGAGAGAGAGAGAGAGAGAGAGAGAGAGAGAGAGAGAGAGAGAGAGAGAGAGAGAGAGAGAGAGAGAGAGAGAGAGAGAGAGAGAGAGGAGAGGGATGCTGCTGCGCCGTAGCCGGGAGAGGGAGTGAGGCAGACGGCGTGGACGCCTGCGGGCTAGGCAACGCGGCGGACAGGCGTGCGTCGGCCTCCGACGGTTGCCTACCTCCGCGGCGGGCGCCGCGCGCAGCTGTGCGGTCGTCTCAGTCCTTGCCTCCACGAGCCGCAGCCGCAGCCACGCCGCAGCCCTGGGCCTGCCGGTTGATTCCGAGAGTCGTTCTGTCTCTCTCGCACCTCTACGGGGCGCCCCATGAGTGCGAGAGAGACAGAGCGACGAAAACGACTCTCGGAATCAGTGTACTGCCGGCTCCTTCGGGAGCCTCCCGGCCTCTTGGCCGCGCTCTAATTAAAAAGCTCCTGACGGCCATTCTACAAGTTCTGTGAGGCGTGGCGGTGGCGGGGCGTGGCGGGGCATAGCGGTGTGGAGGCCAGATCCCGTGCCATGCGCTACCCTTAGGTGGCGTCGGGGCATCCCCAAGCCAGGCAGCAGCGCGCACTCAGACCTTCCCCTCCCATACATAGACACACACACACTCACTCACACAGACACACACTCGCCCTGGGCTCGTTCTCCCACGCTCCTAACGCCGCCCCCGCCTTCCTGCGACCGTCCCGTCTCGCCTCGCCTCTCGCATCGCAGCCCCGCGGGACACGAAAGCGAGACCGGCGCGCGCGCCACGCTCCGCCTCGCCGCCAAGCACGCCCTGGTCCTGGTCCGCGCCACACCCTCGCAATCTCTATTGGCAGGCCTGCCACCGCGGCACAGGCACGGCGGCACGGCCGCACGGCGGCGAGGCCCAGAGGACCGTCATGCGAGGCGGGGACGACACGACGAGGCGCAGCGCGGCTGTCGACCCCAGAGAGCACCCCGCCCCGCCCCGCCCCGCCCCGCCCGCAGTACATCGACTGACTTTTAGTTTAGAGCGGCGCGGCGGGCGGCAGGCGGCGGGCCCTTCCACTTTACACTTGAATGCGGCGGCAGGGCGCGGGGTGCGGTGCGGCGCGGTGCCGAGGGGGCGCCGTCGCCGTGCGTTTCTGTCGTGCCAAACGCGCCGCGCCGCCGCGCCCCTCCCCTTCTATCACAATGCCGCAATAATAGGCGCCCCAGGGCCCAGGGCCACGAGGGCCTCGAGGGCGGCGGCCGGAGCAGACAAGGGCAGCGCCGCAGCAGCGCCGCAGTAGCGTCAGGTTCTCCCTTGTGCTGGCGCTCGGCTCGGCGCCACGTGGGGCGGGGTGGGGCGGGGCGGGGCGGGGCGGGGCGGGGAGGCCGCCGAACAAAAGTCTGCCTCCGACGGCCCTCGGCCTCGGCGGGCCGCAGCGGCGAGAGCGGCGAGAGGCGGCGAGAGGCCGCCGGAGGCCGAGCCCCGCGGCGCCGCCACGCCCTGCAACGACGCCACCACGGCCACCACGGCCTCCACGGCTACCATGGCTACCACTTACCACGGCTACCACTTACCAGCGCCCTTACCGCCCCACGGCCCGCCGTAACTTTACACGTACGTGGCGCGTGGCGCGGCGTGGCGCGGCGCGGCGCGGCGCTGCGGGCGGACCCCCTCCCGCCCCTCCCTGCTCGTGAAGGGCGCGCGTGCCGTTCGCGGTGGCGGCGCCCGTGCGGCCAAGGCGGAGGTGGGGGAAAGGGTAGACTTTGGCGAGGCCCCAGAGGGGATCCAGGTGGCCGGGGGAAAAGGGAGGGGGGGGAGGGAGAGCAAGGACTGACTCAACTAGACAGCTCTCCATGAATATTCATGCGGGCGAAAATGTTTGGCCATCGCGGTCGCCCGGCGCGCCGCTGGAAGGATGGAGCGCTGGCGTCGTGTTGCGCCCACGGTGGCAGGCAGCAGGCAGCAGACCGCGCCCCGGTCCGCGGCGCTGGCGGTACCCGCGCCGCGCTTGCCCAGGCAGCGCAGGCTTGCCGCTTGCCGCTTGCCGCGCCCCGAGCCAGCGACGCACAGCGACGCCGCCTGGGAGGGATGGTCATGAAAAATGGATGGGTGCCGGGCTGGGGTGGGGAGGGGAAGGGACGGTTCGCAGCTTCGGATGCTGGCTGCTGCTCTCTAAGCGTTCCGGCCATGTGCTGTCCACGTGGCGTCGTGGCGGCCCTACACAAGGCCCTACACGTGCCAAGGACGCACGCCGCGGACGCCACGGACACCACGTGCTGCGGGAGTTTATTTCCGCCGGGGTACGTGTATTATGAAGGCGGTGCTGTTGTGGCCAGTCCGCGAACCACGGACCGCGTCCCGAAAATAGCGGGTCCAGGAGAGCCGGGACACGTGCAGAGCGGCGCGCGTGGCGGGGCTAACGGCTGGTGGCTAACGGCTAACGGCTAACGGTTAACGGCTGACGCGCGGGCTTGGCGTCGAGCAGCCGGAACCTCGGGCCGGAGTCCCCTGGACGCGTCGCTGGAGGGCGGCCAGCTCTCACCAATGCGTCAATGTCGTCATGAGAAGCGGTGACCTTTTAGCCGCCCCCGCCCCCGGCAGGGCCAGTGCAGGGCCAGTGCAGGGCCCTGGCGGCGCGGTCGCTAAGCGGAGCGCTGGAAGCCACACCAACGGTCTAGCCTGCCCCTGCGGGGGCAGGGTGCGGGGCGCCGCCGCGCAGGGGTGGGTCTGCAGCTGTGCCCCGTGCCGCACCGCCCCAGCCTCTCGCCGCCGTCCCTCCTCTCTCTGTCTCTCTATCTCTCCGTCTCCCTCTCTCTCCATCTCACTCGCTCCCTCGCGATCTCGCTCCCTGCCCGTCCCTGCCCCGCCGACTAAATAATGAACGGGCCGTGCTTTGCAGCACACGCACCGCGCTGCGCCGCGCTGCGCCACTCCAGCCCCCGCCCCTGCCCCCCACTGTAGGCTCCAGCACTCCAGCACTCCAGCCGCAGCTCCCCGGCGCGGCGTGCTGGCGGTGCTGGCCGTGCTGGCCGTGCTGGCGCATAGCTATTCGCCCGGCTTTGCATTGCTGTGCGGCGTGGTGGCGCGGTGCCGTCCCGCCGTCCCGGTCTAGCCCCCGGCCCTTTGCTACCACGCCCAGCCAGCGCGGCACGGCGCGGCACGGCGGCCTGCCGGTGTGGATAGGCGAGGCGGCGAAGCCCCGGCGCGACCCCGCTCAGCCTCGCGCCGCCAGCAAGGCCCCGCAAGGCCCCGCTCGGCCCGGCCGGCCCCAGTGCCGTCTGGACCACTAGGTATCGATCCATCGGCCACGCCGAGCCCGAGCCCCAGCAGGCAGCGGGAGCCAGCGGGGCTGCGGGCGGGTCCGAGCGGGTCCGAGCCAAGCGCGGTCTGGCGGGGTGCGGCAGGGTGCTGCGGGGCCGCGGGGAGGGGCGGGGTGCGGCATAGGCGGCCGCAGGCCGTGTCGCAATCAGCGACCACCCCCCGCCGCCGCCACGCCCCGCCTCGCTACGCCCCCGTCGGGTAACACTACCCCCACGGCCACCCCCGCACCCCTCACGCCCCGACGTGCCACGCTGTGCTGACTTCTATCGGCTGCCTCCCGCCTCGCCCCGCCACGCCCCGCCACGCCGTGTCTCGCCCGCAGCGCCGTCAGTGCCATCTCCCCGCACGCGACTGGCAACCCCCCGCCCCCGGCTACCGCCGCTACCATCGCTACCGCTGCTACCACTACTACCACCACTACCACCACTACCACCACTACCATCAGTACCACCACTACCACCTCTACCACCCGTCCGTACCCACTACCACTACAACCGGCACCAACACTACAAAAGCTACCGCCGCTACCACCACTACGACTACAACCACCGCTACCGCCGCTGCCCCCGGCACCTCGACCCCCATTCAATCTCCGGCCCGCGATGCGAGTCCTCTGGGGTCGGTCTTCCCCGGTCTTCCCGGCCTTTCCGGTCTTTTCGTTGCGCGGCGCATTCTGCTGCGGAAAATTAACGCCTCGCCCGCCGCCGCCGCCTCGCCCGCCTTGGCCGCCGCAGAGGAGCAATTTAGCGGAAGACTCTCCCCTCCGCAGCGCCGCGCCGCTCCGCGCTGCTCCGCGCTCCGCAGTGGAGGCTGAAGGCGTGGAGGAGGAGATGCGCGGCGAGCCGAGGAGTGCTCCGGCGCTCGACTCCGCCTTGCTTCGCCTTCGCCACCGCGCTCCCTCTTCTTCTGTTCCTCTCTTTTTTCCGGCCGCCTTTGTATTCGCCGCGCCACCCTCGGCCCCTTTGACGGTGAGGCGAGGCGGCGGGCAGCGCGGCGGCGCGGCGTCGCAGCAGTGGAACACTGCGGAATGTCGCGCTGCTGCGCGCCACGCCGTTACGCGTCACAGTGGCGGCGTCACACTCTTGGAGCCGCAAAGCCGCGAACCGCCGGCCGCCCCTTCGGCCGGGGCGAGGCGCCGTCTCGGTTCCCTTCATCCGTTCGACCGCCGCGACCCACGACCTATCCGACCTACCCCTCCGGTCCGCCGAGTACGCCAGCGCCGCGCCCAGATGGGTGTGGCCTGCAGACCGATTCCGGGAGTCGTTTTCGTCGCTCTGTCTCTGTCGCACCTGTCGGGAGGTTCCGCGATGCGAGAGAGGCAGAGCGACGAACACGACTCTCGGAATCAGTCTGCTGTGGCGCGGTGCTGCGCGGCGAGGACGGCGAGGACGGCGAGGACCGAGGCGAGAGGGAGCGTCCTTTCCCTTCCGCCGGTGCAGCGTCAGTTCTGCCTTTTATGTGATTATTATTGCGCTGCTGGCGCGTCGCGGCGGGGCGGGTTGGGGTGGGACGGGGCGGGGCGGCGCGGGGCGGGGTTGGCGCGGCGCGAGTGTCTGAGCACCTCTGCGCTGGAAGTGGGGACTCCGGCGCCGTCATTAGAGCGCTCGCGTCCCCCTTGCGCCCCTTTCGCCCCCTCGGGGCCCCTCCCTCCCCGCCGCCCGCGCTTCCCCGCCGTCCCCGCCGTCCCCGCCCCGACCGACCGGCGCGACCCCCGAGACTCGCTGGGGCGTGGCGGTGGCGCGGCGGCGGCGTGGCGGCGTGGCGGCGTGGCGACGCTGGTGGGGCCGGGGGGATGAGGGATGGGGGCGCGGCGGGGCGCGGGACGGCAGCATAAAACGCCACGATGAAACGAGGACGCAATAAACATGAAGGACTGCCGACGGGCCAGTGCCCGCGCGGCCAGCCAGCCCCGGCAGCCCGCTACGGCCGCGCCGCCGCCGCACCTGCACACCTCCAACAAGAACGCCCTGCTGGCCGCGCACCGCTGAAGAAGACCCGACGCGCCAAAAAAGAGAGAAAAACACAACAAAGTAACTCTGGGCGCGCGGCGCGCTTTGGCGGCGCGGCACGCAACATGACGCGACTCAAAGCGACGCGCCGCGCCGCGACGGGGGCGGGCAAGGGGGCGCGCGGCCGCGAATCACGGCGCCCTGCCCTGCCTCGCCCTGCCTGCTCCCCTCGGCGCAAAAATGAAAGGGAGGCTGACGGACGAGAACGAGACAGAAAGGAGAGGCTTTGGAAGTCTGCAGATATTTCCACCACGACCGCGGCAGCGCGGCAGCGGCGTGGGAGTGGCGCGTCGCGGCGCGCGGGCGGTCGCGTCGTCCGTCTCTGTCTCTCTGTCGGGTCGCCCCGCCCCAGCCACCCGCTCGCGTGGCTTGACGCTTCGCGCTCCGCTCGCCCTCCAGAGGAACGCGTGCGCCTCGCCTTTCATCCCTTCTCCGTCCCTACCCCCACCACCCCCACTCCCAGGAGAGCTGACGCAAAGGGCTGTGCTGGCTGCGCCGCTGGCTCTGCCGCTGGCCGCAGGGCCGCAGTCACGTCACCTGTTGCCGCGCCCCGCCGCGCCGCGCCCTCGTCCTTCCCTCTCTCTCGCTCTCGTTGGCGCCAGTTGGCGCGCTCCTCCGCCCGTCCGTCCGCCCGTTTCTCCCTCGCTCTCGCCGGCCGTGTCTGCATTGACAGCTCGCGGGGCGCGGCGGGCGGCGCGGCGCGGAGGGGCGGGGCGGGGCTCCGCAAAACAAATGGGCGGTAATGGGGCTTCGCGTGCTTCGCGTCGGGGCGCGGCGCGGCGCTACGCTTCGATGTTGCTGCTGCATGGACGCGGGGCAAAAAAAAGGAATTTGCTGGGCGGGGAAAATACGAATAAAACCCCTTTTGGGCAACCACGAAAATAATCCGTAATGACTGCGGTCGTGTTCTTGTTCTTCTTGTTGTGTTTTGTTGCTTTTTTATGCAAGCGGGTGGGGGTGGCACTCTTGCTCAAAAGACCGGTTGTAGCCGTTCAAAAAAAGATTTATTGTGGAACTACAAAACAATAGTCAGATATACGCTAGTTTGCCAAAGCCATCTCCTGCAGTTTCCGAAGTCTTTTGATACCGCAAGAGATCTCTCAGGAAACAAGAACCACCCTTGTCCAAGGCTTACAACATAAGTCATTCTGAGATCTAGAATTTACACAGTCCATTGTATACAAGATCCTTAAAGCGCACCCACCCTAAAGAAGTAACAGTAAATATTTATCACATAATATTCAAAAACATTAACAATAGTTAACAATGACAATGGTAATAATAATAGTAATAATAATAGTAATTAATTGTACATAACACAACAAAGACTGCGCAGATTGAGAGGAAGTCAATAACTATAATACAAACCAATAACATAATAACATTTTGAAGCTTTCGTTTCAAGTAGGCCTTTTATTTTAAATCGTAGCTTATTCGAAATAACAATGTTTATTCGATGGCAAACTGGTTTCTTAGTCTTAGACAGAGATAAGGCATGCCCACAGATAACTGAAGCGTATTTTTTTTTTCGAAAGAGGAACAAAACCGATAGTTTAAACAAGTGGGTATTTTACTTAGAGTGTGTTACCTTAATCGATTAAAATCGGTCCTTATTCGAAAAAATTATTTCGAGACCTCATAGATTGTCAAGAGGGCAAGACATTTCATAGATTAGAGTGTACCTTTGCTATTTAAGAAGTTGTTGACTTAGATAAGTATAATAATATGCTTGTGACTGCATCAAGCCATTTGTCCGGCTTTAAAATGGAGCCATAATACATTCTCTTACATATTTGACTAGATAATGGAATTATGCTTAGTGGCGTACGAGGCCGTTTGGTACAATAAAATCATTTTTACAATAGATTTTCTCAAAACAGATTCACACAAAGGTTGTCAAACAGGACCTTGCTGTCGACGAAGGAAGACGATTTGAAATCAAAAGCATAGACTATGCAGTACATCGAGCGAGAGGCACTTAAGAGAACAGAAGGAACAAGGAACGAGTGTTTAAGTAAGTTGTTAAGTAGGTTCTGCACAACACATGTTCGGTGTCCGATCATCATCTACAAGTATGGAGCTTCATGCAAGTATTTTTCTAAATAGGCCTATCGAAGAGGTTCCTTATCTAACAACAGTACTCTTTGTACTTGACTCTTTCAATCTACATCTACATTTCTCTGCGGAGGGCCGGAGGGGCTCACGTTCTGTGCGATGACCATTTACGTGTTGCTCAGGTACGAATCGGGGAACGCTCGGTAGTCAAAGTAAGGCACTGAATACAATAAGAAAAGAAGAACATAAACAAGTTAAAACACCGAGCTTTGAGCCGCGAGGTCTTGACTAAGGACTGACTTAGATTTTTAAAGTTAGGAATGAAACTCCGTGGAAACTGAAAAGGGACAAACCAGCACTTACGCTGGAAGTGCGCGCCCAAGCGTTGCGCAGGCGTCGCGACGTTACGCAATGCAAACAAAACGACAAAAAAAAGGAACAAAGAAAAGAAAAGCGGTTAAGTAACGAGGTCTAATTCAAAGTCGCGGGCCTCCACACCCGAAACAACTGAGCTGAAATCCCTTACAGTATTTTTCGAAGCACCGAGATCCGAACGCGTCAGGTCGGCAGTGAAGCAGTCGAGCATCGAACTCAAACACCCGCACGTTTGCGCATCTCACACACACTCACACGCACACACACTCGCGCCAGCCTCCGTACGCGGGCAGTGGGCTGGGCGTCGGCTGGGCGACTGGCAGATGGAATCTCCCGCCTGGGCTGATTACTTGTCGCGGCTTCCGGACCGGCGACGCTTGTCCGAGGCTTTGCCGCGCTTCGTGGCGGGCGTGGCGGAGGCCGTGGCCGAGGCCGAATTGAGGGTGGCGCGGTCCCAGCCTAGGCCGAGGCCAGCGCCAGGGCGTCACCAGGGCCGCCAGACGTTCCCGTCGTCGTCGTAGACGGGGTGGCCCTCGCCCTCGCCGTCCGCAGAGCCCTCCGGCCGAGTCCACGGCCTCGGCATCTTGATGCGCGCGTCCACGGCCGTGTCCTCCGGCGCCTCCCGCTTGACGGGCCGAGGCCGCGGGTCGTCGTCGCGCAGCTTGCGCTCGCCAGTCGTGAAGTCGAGTGGCGCGTCGGGCAGGGACCGGGCCTCCTCCTCCTCCTTGATCTCCTCTTTGATCTCGACCTTGACGTCCACGCCGTTGGTGGCTGGCGGGGTGGTGGGGGCCTTGGCCACGACGAGGTCTTCTGGCTCGTGCTGCACGGAGGCCTTGCGGTGGTGCCGCAGCTTGCCGCGGTGGACGGGTGGCGGCGACGGCGGCGGCTCTGCCTTGACGGCGGCCGGGCTGGTGTCCTTGCTGGTGTCGCTGCCGCCCTCGCGCGCCGGCTCGCGCATCGGCTCCTTGACGACCGTGTCCCTCACCTGGCCGGCCTCGGACCCCGCGGAGATGACCGCCGCGTCCTGCGCCTTGGCCCCGATGTCCGCGTCCAGGAAGGGGGCCTGCCCGCCCGCCGCCGCCGCCGCAGCCAGCTGCACGTAGTGGCTGGGGAGCAGGAACACCACCTGGCCGTCCGGCAGCCGGGAGGGCACCACCTGCACGATGGACAGCAGGGGGTTGTTGGGGCCGGCCTGCCCGGGGCCCAGGGTGACGGCGGCGGTCACGGCGGGTGGCATGGCGTTGGGCGGCAGCCCTGCGGCGGCGGCGCTGGAGGACGCGGCGGCCGCGGCCAGGGACTCGGCCAGGTCGGCGGGCAGCGTGGAGGGCGGCGGCGAGTCGTTCCCCGAGCCCGTGCTGGAGTAGCGCGTCCGCTTGCAGCCCATCGGCATCCCAAGCAGGCTGCCCAGGGTGAGCCCTGCCGCCGCAGCCGCCGCTGCCGCTGCTGCGCCCGCCGCCGCCGAGCCCAGCCCGGCGCCGTTGTTGTTGTTATTGTTGTTGTTCTCGTCCCCTGTGGACACGGTGCTGCTGTCGGGCCGCGTCGCGTCGAAGTCCTCATCCACCTTGAGTCTGGGGAGGAAGAGGAAACAGGTCTGGTGAGCTTGGGCCACTTTCGTCGTCGCCTCGGTCGTTCCGGTGCTCGTTTCGGCCCCTACCTGTCGTCGTCGCCGCCGGGGCTGGAGGGCGGGGACGCCATGGAGGCCGTGATGGCGGCCAGGTGCGCGGCCATCTGGCTGCTGCCCGGGCCGCCCTGCGCCGCCATCTTGGCCGCCGCGTGCCCGAAGTCGAGGTCCAGCTCGGCGGCGCACGCCTCCAGGTGGCGCAGCAGGCGCTTCCGGGCGCCGGGGTCGATCAGGCCCGACGTGGAGGACGCGGAGGGCGGCGACTGCGAGCCCGTCAGCGACAGCGCGGCCGGGCCCAGCAGCAGCTCCGGGGTGTCCAGGAACCGCGTCACCTGCACCAGGAGAGAGTTAGACTGCTGTTCCTAGCGGTGGGGAAATCAAGTGAGCCCGGCACGAGACAAACCACCCTCTAATTTGGGAAACTAGAGCCGAGAGCGCGCGTGAGGGTGAAAAAAGAGAAAAGGGCTACTGGGTCGTGGACGCGGCAGGCGCCGCACAACAGGCGCCATGCCGTGCGCCGCGCGAGGCCGGACGTGAGACACGCGAGTGGCGGGGCGGGGCGGGGCGGGGCGGGGCGGGCTGACGAATCGAAATAAATCTTTGGGTGCGAGCGGCAGCCCGGCGCAGCCACAGCACGGCAATGCGCAGGTGTGGTGGCGCACGCCAGCCCCAACCACGCGACGGCGACGACGTGTCTGGGCCGCCGCGTCCGATACAATCTCCCTCCCCTCCCCGCACTCACCTCTCGAGCGCATTCCTGGAAGCCGGCGCGGTACTTGTCCACCTCGGACGAGTTGAGCGTCTTCTGTCGCTGCAGGTGGCGCACCGTCAGCTCCAGGATGTCGGCCTTCTCCAGCTTGGAGTGCTTCGTGTTTTGCTGCGGGGGAAAGAAAACACAAGCTACAGCAACGTCCGCGGGGGGGATGTGTGCGTCAAAAGTAACGCGGCATTCTCACCTCCAGCTTCGCCGAGTCCAGGATGAGGGTCTTGAGCACGGCCAGCGACTGGTTGATCCTCGCGCGCCGCCGCTTCTCCATGAGGGGCTTGTTGGCCTGCAACGGGAAGCGCACCGTCATCTCCCATTCTCATTACAGTCCGTCCCGTCCGCCTCTGGGGACCTACATATTGAAGCGTGGCTCTGGAGGGCGGCGAGGCAAGGCGGGGCTGCCTGGCTGCCTGCCTGGCGGGTGGAGGGCGGAGCGGAGGGCGGAGGGCCCGGCCTCGGCTTGCCTCAAGGCTCGAGGCGTCGGGTGGCGCGACCGAGACGGGGCGGGGCGGGGCGAGGTGGGGCGGGCCTTAACACCTGCCCCGCCTGGCTTCGCCTTGCTTCGCCTTCGCCCCATCCATTCTTTCCCCCCGACCCCAGCCAGCCCAGCCCAGCCCAGTCTGCTTGCGTATTTATGGCCCGCACGCACAATCAGCGTGCCCGGCTCCAGCGTATCGTCGCTCTGTCTCGCTCACACCTGTGCGGGACTCCATGAGTGCGAGAGAGACAGAGCGGCGATGGCGGCATTCGGCATGGGTCATGGGTCACTGCGCCGCGGCCCGCTTTACGCTGGGCGTCTGTCTGGCTTCTCACGGCAAAGCCGCAATCCAGCGCGTCGTCGGCGTCGTGGGGGTCATCGCGTTGCCGCCTGCCGCGCGGCACTCGCGGGACGCGGCCGCACGTTCCGCATCCGCAGTCCCCGACGCCCAGGGGACGTGAACGTGGGACGGGGCAGCCAAAGCCAACCACGGCGTGCTCGTTGTACACTCACCCGGCGGCCGTCCATGCAGATGGAGCCCTTGCCCAGCCCCAGCGTGTGGGCGAGCAGCCCGTCGGCCGTGGACGAGCCGACGACGCCATGGTCGTGGTGCGCGCCGTGGCCGGCGTGCGCGGGGGGCGCCAGCGGGGCGGGGGGCGGCGTGGGAGTGCTGGAGGGCGCGAGCTTCCTGCTGCTGCCGCGCGCCGTGGCGGCCTGCGCGGCCTGCGCGCCGCCCGGAGCGCCCTGCTGCGCGCCGCCCGAGCCGCCCGAGCCGTGCGAGTGGGACGCCGACAGCAGGTGGTGCTTGCGGCTCCCGCTCTGGAAAAAAGAAGAGAAGCGTTGAAAATTTAAATGTTAGGTTACCCATCGTGCTTTTTTTTCTTAATTTGGTGTGTCTGTTGGTTCTGCGCGTGTTTGCGCCTCGTGTACCCGGGCGCGGTGCGGCGCGGTGCGGTGAGGGGGAAAGGGAGGGGGCGGCAGGCGCGCCGAAAGCCGCCGTTTTTCTTCTGCTGTTTTTCGGGCCGTCCGGCTTTCGGCCTTGGTCGAGTACGCACTGCTGCATTCAGGGGGCGGGGGCGCGCGCCCCACTACCTAAGGCCTAGGGCTGGGGGCGGCGAAGTCAAACAGAAAGTTCCTTGATCGCCGGGGCCGCGCGGACGCCACGTCACCCGCCCCCCGTAATCAGTATGAGGAGGCCGCTCAAATTAAATCAGCCGCCATTGTTGTCGCGCGCGCGCCCTTCCAGTGTGCCCCTCCCTTTCCCCTCCTCCCTACCCCTTCCCCTCCCCCTCCCCCATCCCCTAAATGCCCCCCAGGCCCCCCTGGGAGGCGAAAACAGCGCCTTGGCCAGTCCACTAATTCATCAACGTAATGCTTGCCTCGTGCGCTGTGCCGCTGTGCGCGCCGCCCCGCCATGCCCTGCCCTGCCGTGGAAGGACGCGCGCTGCGGCGAGCGTGGACGTGGAGGTCGGGGCACGGCGCGCGCCCCGCCATGCCCTGCCCTGCCCGTGGAAGGACGCGCGCTGCGGCGAGCGTGGACGTGGAGGTCGGGGCACGGCGCGCGCCCTGCCATGCCCTGCCCTGCCCGTGGAAGGACGCGCGCTGCGGCGAGCGTGGACGTGGAGGTCGGGGCACGGCGCGCGCCCTGCCATGCCCTGCCCTGCCCGTGGAAGGACGCGCGCTGCGGCGAGCGTGGACGTGGAGGTCGGGCACGGCGCGCGCCCTGCCATGCCCTGCCCTGCCCGTGGAAGGACGCGCGCTGCGGCGAGCGTGGACGTGGAGGTCGGGGCACGGCGCGCGCCCTGCCATGCCCTGCCCTGCCCGTGGAAGGACGCGCGCTGCGGCGAGCGTGGACGTGGAGGTCGGGGGACGGCGCGCGCCCTGCCATGCCCTGCCCTGCCCGTGGAAGGACGCGCGCTGCGGCGAGCGTGGACGTGGAGGTCGGGGCACGGCGCGCGCCCTGCCATGCCCTGCCCTGCCCGTGGAAGGACGCGCGCTGCGGCGAGCGTGGACGTGGAGGTCAGGGCACGGCGCGCGCCCTGCCATGCCCTGCCCTGCCCGTGGAAGGACGCGCGCTGCGGCGAGCGTGGACGTGGAGGTCGGGGCACGGCGCGCGCCCTGCCATGCCCTGCCCTGCCCGTGGAAGGACGCGCGCTGCGGCGAGCGTGGACGTGGAGGTCGGGGCACGGCGCGCGCCCTGCCATGCCCTGCCCTGCCCGTGGAAGGACGCGCGCTGCGGCGAGCGTGGACGTGGAGGTCGGGGCACGGCGCGCGCCCTGCCATGCCCTGCCCTGCCCGTGGAAGGACGCGCGCTGCGGCGAGCGTGGACGTGGAGGTCGGGGCACGGCGCGCGCCCTGCCATGCCCTGCCCTGCCCGTGGAAGGACGCGCGCTGCGGCGAGCGTGGACGTGGAGGTCGGGGCACGGCGCGCGCCCTGCCATGCCCTGCCCTGCCCGTGGAAGGACGCGCGCTGCGGCGAGCGTGGACGTGGAGGTCGGGGCACGGCGCGCGCCCTGCCATGCCCTGCCCTGCCCGTGGAAGGACGCGCGCTGCGGCGAGCGTGGACGTGGAGGTCGGGGCACGGCGCGCGCCCTTCCCCCACCCCGCAACCCCCGTCGCGCGCCGCCGCTCCGCCACTGGCAGCAGCAGCGCGGCTAGCGCCCGCACGGAGCGGGATAGGCAATCCGCCGACACGGCTGCGGGCGCGTTGCCTACCTGCACGGCGCTCCGCCACACTGCACACCGCACGCGAAAAGCACACTGATTCCAAGAGTCGTTTTCGTCGCTCTGTCTCTCTCGCACTCATGGTGCGTCCCGTATAGGTGCGACAGGGACAGAGCGGCGAAAATGACTCTCGGAATCACGCCGCAGGACGAATCCATCCCCGATTTACCTGCGCGCCTCGCCTCGCGGTTATTAATCGAACCTTCTTTCATGTTTGTTTCATCTTCACCGCGCGGGTCGCGACGGCCGTCGCCAGGCAGCCTTGCCTTCCCTTTCCCTTGCCGCGCACGCGCGCGTGCGTGCGTGAATGCCTTCGCAAATCAAGCCAAGTGGAACCCAATCGGCCGGAGGGATAAGGCCGGCCGAGGCCGAGGGAGGGGAAGGGGGAAGGGGAGAGGGGGAGGGCACGGCACAGGCCGCCCTGGCCCCTGTTTGATCGGCGCTGTGTGCCGCCGGCGTCACAGTCAACACGGCGGGGCGCGGGGCCGCGGCGGGGGCGGCGGTACACCACGCTCACCGAAGGGAATAAAATAAGCGTAAAGGGGTGGGGGGGGAGATTGACGAGGCGGAGGCATCTCCCTTTCATACCGCCCGCGAGCGAGCCAATTCCCCCGGCAGACTGATTCCGAGAGTCGTTTTCGTCGCTCTGTCTCTCTCGCAGCTATACGGGACGCCCCATGAGTGCGAGAGAGGCAGAGCGAGGGAAGAGCCTCTCGGAAGGAGTCTGCACGCAGCGCGGTGGCCGCGCCGGCCTTACCTTGGCCGTGCTGCAGGAGGAGGGCGTGGTGAGGGCGGAGTGTTCCTGCAGCTGCAGCTGTTGCTGCAGTAGCGTCTTGCAGCTGGCGCTGCTCGCTGACGTGCTGGAGATGTGGCCCAGCCCAGAGCCCAGCCCGGAGCCCAGCCCAGAGCCCAGCCCAGAGCCCAGCACCGAGCCCAGCCCCCTGACAGGGTCACACGGCTTCCTGCAAAGCAAAGGCACAACGTGAGTATGGTTCCGGTCAGGTCACAGCATAATTCCGAGAGTTGTTTTCGTCGCTCTATCTCTCTCGCACCTATGGGGAACGCCCATGAATGCGAGAAAGACAGCGCAACGAAAACGACTCCCGTGGAATCGGTGTGCAGGAGCGTTTACGCTCAACAACAACCACGCCCCGCGAGACACTCACTGCAGGATCTGCGACGCCGCCATGTCTCACTGGCTGTCTCCGTGCCATGGGGCCGAGTCCGCGCGGGCCAGCTTGGGGGAGAGCGGGTCCGGGTGTGAACACACTGTGAAGCCCCTGCAAAGAGAACGGAGGAACCTTTCATTAGCGGGGCGGGGATCGACGATCGAAGCGACGCCAGTGTGACGTGACGGCCGGCGTCAAGGCCGGGGCGGGGCGGGGCGGGGCGGGGCGGAGCGCCGACACGAAAATTAGTCTGGTTTATCTTTTACGCAAAGTTGATTGGCTGCCCCGGCGGCGCCCTGGCCAGCGAGCACCAGCGGGCACCAGCGGGCCGCGCGGACACGCTATCGGCAGCCCTGCCTCGCCGGCCTCGGGGCGGAGCGCGGCGCGGTGTGGTATCGCCGGCACGTGTCGAGTTCACACGCGTGCGCGCCCGCACACAGACACACTCAGATACACACACAAGCACACACTCACTCACTCACACGCACACACTCTGCCTTCATGAGAGCCTGGTCACTGCGTCCCTGCCGCCGCCGCGTTCACGTGCGCCTACCCCTCGCTCTACCCTCCGCGGCACGTGGTGCGGGGGCGATGGCGGTTCAAAACTCATGACCGTTTCGGAGCGACGATGACTCGCCGCCCCGCCGTCGGCACGCTGCTGCGGCACGCTGCGCCACGCCCCCACGTTCTTTCCTGTTGTGTGAGTTGGTATGCGTGGTACATCAAGGCAATGGTGGGCGGGCGCGGGCCGCGGCCGCGGCAAGAATACGGAATGGGAGCGCCGGGCCTTCCGGTGGGCGGCACGGCGGGGCTGGAGGCACGGCCAGCCGGTCCACGATGGCCTGGCTGGCTGGGCCTGGCTGCCGGCCTGCCTGCAGCCCTCCGGGGTTGTCGGTGCTGTGCCGGGGCAGCGCGGCCACACTCCGATTCCCTGCTGATAGATCCTCCTCACCCTCGCCGAGTTTTGAAACTAGCGCGTCTGAACGGGGAGTGGCAACCCTCCCCCGGCCCCTGCCCCTGCCCTGTCAACGCGGCCCGGCCCCGCGTCGCCGCGTCGGCGCCGCGAGCGTCCCAAATTAATTAGGGGGCCACCCCGCCAGCACGCGACCCTCGCTTCGTTCGCCTCGTCAAAACAGCACGAATATTGTCAGAGGCACGGGGGTGGGGGTGGGGGGGAGAGGGGGCGTTATTTCGCCGCGGGGCTCATAGCGCGCCCGCCGCGTGGAGCCGCGCGGAGCAAACACCGACTTCCATGCATGCATGATTCCCCTCTCAGCCAAAGCCCCCCGCCGCCCCCCTGGCCCGGTCGGGGGGACACGGGCACGCGCGGCAGCGGCAACACAACACGGAGAGCGGCTCCTCCACTCCGCCGCGGGCTCGAGGGCCCGCAGCCCGAACACGCCCCCAGTGGGGCCCACCCCGGCACGCCGGCAGCCCTCGCCGCCGACGCACAATATCGCAGCAGTAGCGACGTCGCCGCAGGCGCAGGTACAGTGTCGCGGCGGCCGGGCCGGGCGGCGGGTGTGGCAGTGTGGGAGCAAAGCTCGCGCCAAAACTAATATGGAACCAGGCGCACGTCGCCGCCGACGCCGCCGCCGCCCGCCACGCCCCGGCGACGCGACACGTTCCCGCAAACGCACTAACTCAGAAATAGCAGTGCGCCGCGTGCGCGTCGCGTAGGTGTGGGCCGAGCCGCCGGGCCACGCATCC